GAAAAATATTAAAATGGAATAAACAAGAACTCATTTTAGATTTTGTGTTTCTGGCATGTCGGGATACTCACTTTATCCTTTGTGTGTTTACCTTTTTCGAGGGTGAAGCCTGGGTGGGGCGTAGATTTGAGCCCCTGGGGCAGTGGTTGTGTCCTGGAATATTGGAGGGGTTGGGTGGGCTTTAAAGGTCATCATACACAAATACAGTTTTTGGGGCAATATCAGTATCAGTAAACCAGTACTCATACCAATATGAGTATTGGTTTGGAGAGTAGGAGATTTACAGAAATTCAAAAATCAGTAATGAACTTAACAGAATAAAATCACGGTTGGTTCTCAGTGAAACCTCCTCTGCTACAGTATATTGCCTCAAAGACTGCATGTTTATGATTCTACAGGGGCGTTCACTTCAGTTTAGTGGGGACAGGGTCGGTGCTTTGCAGCATTTCTATCTTGTGTTTGTGTGTGAGTTTGTGTGTGCGTGTGTGTGGGTGCGGCGAGGCCCGGCCCAGTCCAACTGTTCTGTTCAGTTCAGTTGATCTGCATTCCAAGTTGTACATGCTAGTCTTTACATTTTGTTTTTCCAATAAAATGTCATGAACTAAGACGTTTGGTTATGTGTTTATTTCTTAAAAATGAGCCGACTTGTGTTTTCTCTCAGTGAAGGCTGGTTCTGTGGGGGAAGTGCAGCTTTAAAATGACTCATCAGTGCCACTTGCTGCATGTGATGTCTTACGGAGAGCAAAGTGTGAGCACAGACACTGAAGCCCTCTCAACATCTTTTAGGAGGGGAATTGGTCAGGAGTATGAGGATCAGACATTTGGCTATCAAAAAACACAAGAACTAATAGAGAGGGTTTTTTTTTTGATAGTTAAAATACTGATGTAGCAGCGAAGGGGTTGTTTGGACAACCGCATCCATCTATTTAAACTGGTACATTTTCTTCCTTGTTCACATCCCGAACCAAAAGCACTTCAACAGATGAACGAATTCAACATCTCTGTATTCCTCTGATGTGTTAAAGGATGACTTTGAAAACATGGAACTATTCAAAACTCCAGTGACTTCTAAACACCAGCATGTCTTCACTAATGTAATTGTGCAATTAGTGTGTGTTTATGGAGGGGTGTCACAAGGACTTCTCCAGATCGTCAAGTACGTCTGCAGATGAGGAGGTGTTGCTAGGCAACAGAGCCAGGCACGGGATGGGTGGAAGTGAAAGAGAGGGAGCAGAAAACCGTGGGAGTTTGAGGAGAGAGCAAGAGAAGAGACGGGGGTGGGGGGGACGGATGGGGGGTGATGAAGAGGCTGAAAGACAATAATAGAATCACAGGACTTGAGTGAAGGATGAAAATGAAAACTGCAAGAGAGAAAGCGAGTGAGTGTGCAGCTTAAGTCACGTGTCAATAAGCAGTATGGCTTCATGTTTGCACTACTGGCACTTAAAGCAAACTCATTTCTGTGAGATTGAAGTGCTGATTGTGATTGTGGCATTGATGAGAGGCAGACAGAGATGGAGAACACAGAGAGGAAAGACAGAGGGATGGAGGAGTGTAGGAGGTGTTAGATGTGTCCATGTATCACACACAGTAGCTGGAGTTATGTAACTGTCTGAAGTGTATTAATATATCTTGTTGCTCTCTGCTTGCTATTAGTGAGATGCCTCTAACATTAATAACAGGGTTTCCAACGCAGGAGAAGCTCTTTTCACCGTCCTCAGATTTATCTTGCACACAGACACACAATCCGACGCGGCTGGCTCCAGATTTCACTCATAAATATTTCAGGTTTTTACCTGACAGCCTGAAGAATGGAGTGAGGAGCAAATTGTGTCTGTGTGTGTGAGTCGGGGTTGGACATACGATTATCTGTGGTAGATATTCAATGTATAGTTTTTCTCTGATCCCAAGCTGGACAAACTACTAATATGTGAATGTTGTTATTATGTTAGGAGCCCGAGTCGATAGAACAGCACTGATTGTTCAAGTAGTTGTCAACTATCACTGATTGACATTTTTCATCATTTTCTGGCAGCTTGTCGATCAATAAAGTTATTTGAAAAGCAATAAAGTAACTGATAAAAACACATCTGCCTTCACAGTCATGAGTGTTTTGTTGTTGTTGTTGAGACATTTATCATTTCTAAATATTGCTCACAAACTGCAGTCAGTAACCACAGGGGCCAGGGGCATCCAAGAGGACAGCAAGTGTTAATCATGATTAACTATTTTTTAAAAAATGAAATGTTGTTATCATGTTCATAATGAACATTATATAGTAAAATAAAAAAAAAATAAAATTCCAGCACTGCAACTGTGGTTGAACAACAGACAGTAGTTATAGTTACCGTCTCTCTTATTCTGAGTGTAAATCATTTGCCAAAAAAGAGACATAGCACACAATAAACAAAATTAAAGACACATTTTTCTCATTAAAAAAAAAACAAAAAAAAACTTTATTAATCATTATTAATCATGATTTCTTTTTTGGTAATTGTGTAGTGATTGTGTGTATTGTGACAGCCTTGATAGCATGTCCCAGGATAAATCTGCTAATTAGCCTTCAGGACAAAACACTCTGAATTTTAATATGGGGAAATGCTTGGTGGAAAAAGCTCAAACTGTTTCTCAGTCATCTATCAGCATGGAACACAGGATCAAGCAGAAGTAAGCACACCTTAAGAAAGGATCAATATTACAATGGAAGAGTACTTATTATACTGTAAGAATGTGTAGGTATTGTCTGGCTACTGCCTGTACGTCTTGTATATCCAGTTGTGGCGATTTAGATTTTTTCAGCTTTCTGAAAGTTGCTCTCCCCTGAAAACCGTGTACTGTATCTCCAAAATGATTATGTAAGGTCAAGTGTGTCTGAGTCTAAAAAAGTGAAATTGATTTGACTTCTGCAACAAAGATTTGATTATTCTTTAAATGCATAGACCTTTATCACAGCATGAGTAGGTAAACACAAGTGTTATCGATCACATTCGTTAAATTTCAGCACCTAAACAGACTAAATGAGGTGTTTCTCAGCTCAGACAAACATTCAGACAAAAGGGGGCTGAAGCGCACTGATTAATTCAGCCTTACCTTGTGCAAACAGAGTTATGTTTCAACATTATTCTGTCTTCATCAGAGTCAACACAGACACAGACATGAGGCAAACATATAAAAGCCTGGTGTCACTGGTTAATAGGTTGAGCAGGGTTTTAAAAGTATTGGATTATAAATCCAATAGTGGGAAGTCAGTGTCTAAACACAAAGCTGTTTTCAGTACTTGTCATGAAAACCTTTGGAGATAAATGTTTTTCATAAAACAGCAATTATGCTCTTCTACAGGTTGATAAATGCAATATTTTCCTCTAAAATGTAATTACACGTGGAATAGGGGGGATAGATATGCTATTAAAGTCTGTGTAATACTGATCTGTATGTCATCAATGGGCCAGTATAGGCCCTGATGTATTCCTCTGGGCCCCGACAGCGACCTTTATGAGAGACGGACTGTTGGACACCTGAGAATCCAGCAGGGGCCTCGGTGCTGGAGGGAGCTGAGGGGTGTGTGAGACTCAACTGTGGCTTCCTGACACTCCAGGACAAAACCTGTCAGCGCTGTAATCCTCTGATGAAAAAGCCACACAAAGAAGGACACACCTATTCATTGACAGACACACACCTGAGAAAGTAACACACACCGCTGGCCCCGAGGTCACAGCCGGAGGGAAAACCACACACAGGTTCACAGGAGAGGAGGCAGGGGATACGTCCCCCCTATAAAACATGAAAGAAAAAACTCTGTCTCAAGCTAGCAGGTACCTTCTGCTTGAACAACTCTGATTTACATTTAACTTTTTTTTTATTATCATAAACTATTGCTATTTAAAATGGTATCTGTGAAACAATATATTGATATATTAAATACTTTCCAAGATATTGTAAAATAAAATTGCAACCCACTTTCAGTACATGAAATTGAAAATTTGAGGCCGTGTGAATGACAATATCTCAGGAACTATTGAAGACAAAAGCTGTAAAGTTTCACTATTATTTCTCATCATGTCATTGATTCAGAATCTGCAATATTGGAAAAGTAGATCTAATAATCTCTCCTTAAAGGCGAGCTGAAACATGAAAAGAAAACCGAGTCCCAGCTTTGAGCACATACTAACAAAAACAAATGTGAAGTTGTAGTTGTATGTCACAATAATACAAAACAAACAAACAAAAAAACAGAACACTAATGTGAAATACTTGGCCACAAAAATAGAAATGAACTCTCATAACTGAATGAGCAGGTCTGTCAAGTTGTCCCACAAAAACAAGAATATTAGATTGAACATTCCAAATAAAACTACTTAAGAGTTCTGTTTGAGGTTTGTTTTTCATATTTCAGCTTCACTAGAAATCTGACTGTTTGAGCTGCTTATACAACATTGCAGATTCTGAATCCAAGTCATGATGAGAAATAACAGTGAAGATTTTAGGCTTTTATCTTTAATGTTCCTAAGATATTGTTGTTAAAACAGGGTCTCAAATTCCAAGGTGTGATGGTCAATTTGAAAAAAGCTATCTATATCTACACCTATGCTAAGAACTATCTCAGAAAATATGTGTATGTGTATATATATGTCACACGAAAACCTCACAAATATCTGCATGATTGTCCAAAATTTATGCAACACAAATTTCAGGCAAATCAGAGACAGTGGAGCAGATATTGTTCCAAACATTTGATGATTTGAGATAAAATGACCCAAGAACATTTACTCATGGTGCCTGAATTTTGTGTTTTCTTTTACATAGACATTCTCAGCATAAACAGATGCATAAATATTCACCAGAATGTAGGAATTAAATGTTTTTGATGCTTAAAACTCCCTCGTGGAGAACACCCAGGCACCTGCTTCATGTTTTCTCATCCAAGTACAGAGGAAACCAAGAGGGTGTTTTTTCAATGTTCAATATATCAAATAAAACAAATAAGCAAGAGGTCAAACTTCTTTTTTTTTTTTAGCCACTTTTATTATCTTGTCATTATTATCATTCTAATTTCAGTCATTCATTTACAGCACAAAGGACTCACTGACTGACAACAAACTGAATCAGTTCATCCTTTCATTCCCTCCGACAGCATCTCAGTAACATCACTCTCCAGAAAATAGAATTATAATTTACTCTCTAAAATAATAACAATAATAATACACTTGGAACAATCAAATATACAACAATAATTCTTTGTATTTATAATCAAAAATCAATTGGAAAAAACAAAAGAAAGAAACTATATTCATCTGGTGTTGACAGGACGCAATCACAATCACTGTGGATGCATTTACACACAACAGAAAATCAGACTTTTGAGAAATTGTGTATAACAGATTCCTCACATTCATGAGAAAAACAGAAAGAGTGTACAGGAGCTGCTGTTTGAGTTTTGGGAGATGAGCAGCTGCTGTAACCTGTTTGCGCTAAATAATAATAATAATAATAAAAAGCTTTTCCAATCTTTCATTTCAATGACTGTCATGGGTCAAAATCAGTCAAGTCTGCACCCATTAGGAGAACCTATAAAATCTGACAACATGACATTAAACAAAACAAGGGCTGTGCAAAGGATGCACACACAACATTAAGAGCGCTTCAGTTTAAAACTCCATAAAAAGACAGTCAGCCCTTCAACTAGAGCTACTGCAAATATGATTTTCTGTGTGTGTGTGAATGCACCCTGTGTTTTGGCATATCGACTTTACTGACTGATTGATTTTTCAGTGATCTGTTAATCTTGTCTGTCGATGCTCCAGTGGGATCTCTAAGACGTGGCTGTCCTGAGGCAGCCGCACAGTAACAATGATCCTCTCCACATGAACAGCAACAAGTGAATGTGTGTGTGTGTATGTGTGTGTGTGTGTGTGTGTGTTGCATTTGAGTAAATTCGATTTTTTGGCTTATAATGGAAACATCAATAATCCATTCTTGTCAAATTTTCTAGATGTGTGAATTTTTGGACTAAATAACGTGTAAACAAAATCTTAGGCTTCTGAATGCAACGCCAGAGTAGTGACTCAAACTGAATCTTATTTACATCTCTGAACAGGACGAGACAACAAGCGCCGCACACAGCATACTAGAAACCACACACAACCAGACACAAGTGTGCGCACACAGGGAACATGTTGGCACACATACACGGATGTGGGTGCACAGACACAAAGAGGCACACAAACAGCGCAGACTGACACACACGACAAATATATCGGCACACTGGCTCATGCCCTCACACCCTCGCTCGCTCGCACATACACACACACACAGACACACACACATAGTCAGGGGGTCACAGCCACAGCAAGGCATTGTGGGTGGAAAGAAGGAAGCGTTTGTGTATGCTTTTATTTGTATTATTTGCATTTATATACAGTGTGTGTGTGTGTGTGTGTGTGTGTGTGTGTGTGTGTGTGTGTGTGTCTGAAGGTATGGCAGTACAACTTTGTGCAGGTGGGTGTTAGTGGCATGCAGGCATGCTTTGTGTGTACGGGGAGTGTGCAGCTTGCAGGTCCATCGTTTGTGCCACTGTGCTACAGTACTGAGGCTCTAACTGTGAAGGCGTGTGTGTGTATGTGTGTGTCTGTGTGTCTGTGTGTGTCTCATAGTGCTCTGGGTATGATGGTGAAGGGCAGGATGGGGCTGCTGGCCTCCAGCTCCAAGGCGGTGAGGAAACACTCGGTGGCAGCGGCAGCGTTTCCCTGAGCCTGCAACACCTCACCAAGACTGTTCCACACATCATGAGCCGTGCTGAGGAGAGGAGAAAACAAGAGAAAATGGGCGGCGTGACGATAAGATTAAATGGGACAGAAGGAAACGAAAAGAGAGAAGATAAGGAAATGGTAGAGAAGAGAAGAGGAGGAGCAGCAAAGGAGATAAGGAAGCAGGAGGGAAAGGAAGGAGACAAAATATGAGGAAGAAGAGGAATATAAAGAACAGGAGAGGTAGATGAAGAAGAGGAAATGGAAAGTTCAGAGAATGGAGGAAGCAGGAGAAAAAGGGAGGAAATAGAAGAGAAGGAGAATAAAGAGGAGGAGGAAGCAAGAGAGACAGGAAGGAGAAGAGGAAGATATAGAGGGAGAGGAGGAGGAGAAATGGAAGGAGGAGAGGAGGAAAGAGAAGACAAGGAGGAAGGAAGGGGAGAAAAGGGGAGAGGAGAAAAAAAAACAGGAAAGAAAGAAGTGAAGTGAGGAGAAGAGAGGAGAACAGAGAATTATTGTTGTAAGTGGCACAAAAAAAACAACAAATCATACAGCAGGCACACACAAACACACTCCTACCTGTTGACCTGCACAGCATCCCTCAGGACTTTTTCGGACAGACTGTAGCGCTGCAGCTGGTGCAGAATCAGACCCTGTGGAGAGGAAAACAGTCAACTAATGAAGACGGAAAGATCCCAGTTTTATAACATGATGTGTGAACCATTAAATGAATCTGTGAAATCACAAAGTGACTCTAAAGATGCATTTAATATGTCAAGTTACAACAGCTAACATCACTACAGTTTTATTTTTTTACTGCATTTCTACACTGCAGAATTGAAATCAGAGACACTTTCAGATATCAGTCACTGGTTGCATTACTATTATTATTGCACCATTTCCTATGATGAGGTCACTCTATCTAATGCAGGTGTTGTAGCTACCCTTCAACACTGCATTCATCAGGAACTATATTTGTTCCCTGGTATGTACTATTGTGATTTACGGATGTATTCGTTTTAGTGAAGTGTTTTTTAAAACTACAATTACCAAAGAAACTGAAAGGTGTAAGGGGCATTTAGTGAAGCTTTATGTGCATGAATATTTGACAAGGTTACCAGTTGTGACTTAAATACATGAGAAACCGTGTTTATAGGTTTCTTGCTGAAACTAAAATGAAGGCATCTATGTTTTTCAATGGCTCAGTGGTCAATAGTATTTTTTCATGGAGTGGCTCAAATATTCTGAGCCATTTTCATGTGTTTAAAGATCTCCTCTGGTTTTACGTTGTCAACATGTCCATATGGTGTTTTCCATATGCTTGAAGACACATCATGAGCAAAATAAGCAGTCAACGCCGTGACTCAGCATTTTTTACCTTGCCGCTGCAGTGTACTGATGACAGTCTCACAAACACAGATTCAGACTTCCAGGTTTTCATATGTAACAAAGCTCAGGAGCCAATCCTGTCAGCCTGTAGGGTGGGACTTCCTGTATCACTGTTCTTCTTCAGAATCAGTTTCTATGTATAGTTGAATTACTCCAATATTACAACTTGCCATTGTGTAACTCAGAGTAGTGTATACTGAGCAGAGCAGAGTGAGCAGAGTCATAGGTGAGCTGGTGTGCTCGAGCTGTTGTGAATGTGGAGGGGTGAGTGAAAGGAGAGACAGAGACGTCATTGTATAGAAGGTAACTGTGTAGTTGCATTTAAGTTATTTTCCAGCAGAAAGGGACTTTAACTCCAATTTATATTAGACTGCAGTTTTTAGTCTGCTACATCAAACACATCAACTCTGTAAATCACACATCCTTTGTTCCTCTTCAATGAAATAAATCAGAAACCCAAAGACAAAAATGTATTCTGATGTCTTCTTAAATATAAATATTCATAAATATTCTGTTAGTGATTTTTTTTGGCTTTTTAAAGTAGTGTTTAAAAATGCATGACAGCATTCTGGGTCTGGCTAAGATGAATATGCGGGGTGTTGTACGCACCATTCAGGCTGGGCGTCTTTGCATGCATGACAAAGTAATCATTTATTCACCCGGTTTAGGGATAGTGGAGCACTGCAATTCAGCATTGATGCAGACAGACTCTTTTAAGGGTCATACTTCACTTCTACGTGCTAACTGGTTTGGGAGGGTCCATGATGTGTGGTGCAGCCTCCAATGGAAAACGCAAACAAGGGCAAAGAGTACAGTGCTCGGAATGAGATTAAGAAAGAAAGAGGGCAACACTGTTTCCTCTATTCAGTGAAGGTCTGACCGGACTGTCCCACAGGAGTAATTACATCAAACACATAAACCCTCAGGCTGTGCAGACACTGCAGACGGATAGGACAAGATTTGTTGTGTTCTCAAGAGACCAAACAGAAGGACAGAGCAGTCAATGTGTTCATGTGTATTACCAGTCTCTGCATGGTCTTGACGTGGGTCGGGTTGATGGACAGGGCCTCTTCGTACCAGCGTTTGGCTTCATCTATGTTGCCCCTCAGCTCGGCTATCTGCCCCCTCATGTACAGCACGTTATGGGATGTGGGGAAGAGGTTGGCGGCTTCCTGTGTGCACGCAGTGGCCTCAGCTGGCTTTGACATGCCGATGTACACCTCAGCTGTCCAAGAACAAGCACAGAGACAGGCAAACTATCAGGCAGGATAAATAAACTAAAATTGTGCAGCAAATGTACATTTGTTGTAGTAAAATGTGCAGTGAGAGAAGTATCTTCCATGAATCATCCGATACTTTGATGTAATTACTGTGAAAGCAATACGATAATGGTCAGTATAACTGGCTGCCTCATAACATTAAGAAGGCATTTGCCATTCAGCTGTTGCTGTGTTGTACAAAGAGGATGCGGCTTTAATACAAATAACACTGATAAACTTCTCAAACTGAAATATTAAAGTCATTAAAGGAAAGTATAATTATTTAAGAGCCCCACACAGCAAGCAGAAATGATTAACAGAGCGCACATTTAAATCTGCAAGAGAAAGAAGCAGAAAAAGCAGCTAGAGAGCAGATCTACATTTTTCACCCATAAATGGCATCAATAAGAAGAACATTTTCTGCATCAAGGTCATCTAATACTTTCATTGTGCTACTGTGATGAAGACAGAGCGACACAAGCGGAGCATGAGACAGACAGAGGAAATGAGTCTGAACTGTCCGTCTGTCTGTCCTCTGATTGGCTGATTACATTAGCTGTGTCGCCAAGCTGGAAATGACCACCTCTGACAGGAAGCAGCTGCAGAGATAAACAGGAGCACAAACTACCTCTGTCTCTGTGTGTGTGTGTGTGTGTGTGTGTGTGTGTGCTGCCTGCATCTGTTTATGCACATCCTTCAGTCTGTTTAGGTCTGTGAGTCTTTGCTGCTGGATGCCAAAATGAGGATCTGGGCTCCAGTGTACTGTGAAGGAAATCTAATATCTAATACATATCTGATCAAAGTGGTCTTAAATGCCAGCACGCTTACTATGAAATCTGTGCTGGGATGATGATCACATATGTCAGACAGAAGCACCGTCAACGACAAGTCACAGCTGAGCAGCGGAAGAAGACGGTAGATTGCTTTATTTGATGGTGGTTAAAAACTGATAATTCAGTGAAATGAGTACTTACATTTACAGCATTTTGGCTGTAAACTTTCCATTGTTCCTTCACCATATCTTATTTAGTTTAGAGTGCTACTGCTCAAATGCTTCATATTTAAAGCGCAAAACAGCATCTAATGCTGATTACTTTTACTGGAAATATAAATAACTTCACCTCTTTGGGTAGAACTAGGTCTCAAAATTCACCTTGACTTAATCCAGACTGCAGGTATTTATTCTCCTCATACATCATCTGCTCTAGAAACAATGTCTGTTGGGACCATTACAGCCAAAGTTATGGCCTTTTAGTGTCAACATCTCTTGTCAGCAGTGATTTTTCCTTCTTCAGTTTGTCTTATTTAAGGGAATTTTCATGTCTGAATAGGTGTGAGCATACAGTGTTTCAAGCATTTGAAGGACTTTAAAGGTCTGCAGAGACAATGGTATCTGGCATTTCACTTATTTCAAGAATTTTGAAGGTCAGGAGAAATGGAAGCGTTTGGCATTTTTATCTAATTGGAAGATTTTAAAGGTTGGGAGAAAGAAAAATGTTTGGTAGGTCACACACAAAAATGCAAGAATTTAAATAACCCAAGAAAGTAATTTTTCTGCAGCAGATTTGTTTTGTCACTTTAGTTATTTAGTAAGCCCTCAGATTTACCCCCAGGTACTTCCTACTAATGGACAGAGTCAACAAGGCCAGAACAGCACCTGTGCTTCAACATCTCACCAGAGGAGCATTTTTAAATTCAGATGGGTCAAGGGCAACACAAGGCTGCTTCTAGCTTTTCGGAGGCCTTATGCAAAATAAAAGCACTCGTTAATCTCCAGATCTTCATCATATTGAATATATGTCTAAATATGACTACATGTTATGTCTCACACATTTTAATGTTTTGGAATTTAGAGCATTGTTAACATCAAAATCAAAACAAAGATGCAAATGATAAAACATGAACCTGTACAATACCATATCTGGTGCACAATTATAAATGGCACAATGAAACAATGAAAATGAGTCCTGTCTGAATATCAACCCCCGAACACAACAACATGACTGATGCTGTGAAACGGAGGACGAGTGAGGCAGGAATAGAGGGCAAAAAAGCACTCTGATTGATGTTGAGGAGACATTGCATGGCACTCTAACCAGCTGAGCCAAATGGCCATTGCTGTGAATCTGCACTCAGAACAGGCTTATGTTTGGAGGGCAAAAGGACGATTGTAACACACTGTGACAGTCCTGAAGCCTGTAATTACCAAGAATGTCAATTTATATTCGAGAGGGGGAAAAAATGCGTCGGCACACAGGGCTTCTTGGCGGTCATGTGGCCCTATGCACATGTCTCGCCTGCGTATAGCAAGACACGTCTCTGATGTTATGCAAGCCTATGGGATGCAATAGGTTTTTTGTATGTGTTGAACAAGGAGATGTTAACAATGAGATGCCATAACTGAAAGTCACAGAAGTTCTTTAAGGGGATGTTAACCAGCCACCTGCTAAATATCAAAATAGCATCATGAAACTGCTGTCAGACAGGAAGTCCTTTTTATCTCATCTGCTCTTTCTATCTCTGTTAAACATGTTTCATGACATGCTGAAGTAAAATAACCCTTGTGTACAGTATGAACAGTGTGAACTCACCTGCATGCAGCCAGATCTGAGCCAGCGTCATCCAAGGGTGCAGGGGTCCATGTTTAGGGGCGCTGCTCTGCAGGGAGGAGGCCACCTCAGACAGAGCCTGCTCTACACGACTGGCTGCTATGGACGTAGCATGAACTGAGCCTGGAGGGACAGAATCAAACTGTCACACACACACACTGTCGCCAGATTTGCTGACTTAGCACTACAGCAGTGTTAGGCAGCCATGTGCCACAATGCAGGCTTTAAATTCAACCAAAAACAACAGCAGAGCTCACTGATTCCAAAAATTTCAGACAGAAAGGAGGACGTTATCAGTGAAACCTGTGCTGTTTGGTTGCGGTAAAAAGCTCGACGCTCTGAGCCCACATTGGTGCACAGTTTCCTGTTCCAGCATTGAAGCCTTTAATGAGTCCACACCATTCCACACTCTGCATCACACAGTGTTATGGCCCTGGATTGACCAGTCCAAAATGAATCCATTTCTGCACCACCATGCAAAAACTGCATCATTCTGCTCATTAGTAACAAAAAGAAGCGCCACTGTGATATTTTGGATATTTTGCCTCCTCATTTAAATCACATCAGATTATTGCAAGGATGCAAAATGGCCACCACATGGGACAATGCAGACACACTGCAGATCTGTGAAAGCAAAACATAATATGATAATAGGATGGTAGACTCCACATATATTGTGTTGTGAGTGTTTTTGATTTACCACTTATCATACACTGATATATGTATTGTTTTGGTTACTTTTTGAGTGTTTGTTATAAGTGATTGCAGTGAAGACACAAGAAGTGACTCCCCTTTTAGAACCTTAAAGATGTCTACAGAGCTAATTACTTCTTTATCATTTAACAACATGCTCAGTCTGGTCATCTGCCAAAATGAAGGCAGCACTGTGATACAGAAAATATTTAGCCATATCTAACATACTGTGGTTGTAGATTTGCAGGGTTACTTTTAAAAGGAGAATGTTTTTCTGCATGAATATTGAGATGCTCATTATACAGCTTTGGAAATAATTATTAGATCACCTACTGTTTATTTGACAAAGTCACAGCAGGCCTTCAGCATTGTTAGAATTTTATCATAGTAGTTAAATTATTACAGCATCTTCTTAAAGACATGAAAAAAAGTATTATAATAATTCAATACATGTGATAAATTATGTTTAACAATATGGTGTAATGAAACAAAATTCACATTAGATGGCCAAAATACTTTTTGAGTCACAACTGTTTTGTGCATAAGCTGTATATGTAAAGTCAGCAGATATTCCAAACTATGTTATCACTCAACTATGACATCTTAGTTCTTAATGAAGCAGGAAACAACTGTGAGAGTCATTGCTAACTAATTTGAAATCAGCAACTATCTGTTAGAAGAAAAAAAAAAAAAGTATGGTTCCACTGAGAACTACAAAAGAAGAACCACAGAGTAACATTGGTCTAATGCTTATTTCCAAAGCTGTATGAACTGACTCATATACAGAACAATCAAAGTCTAGAACTGGTTCTTAAGGTTCAGCAGATAAAAACACACTCCACAATTATCTATTCTGTGTGTGTAACAGATCAGTCAGTTAAACATTATAAGACACATGTTCTATTGCTCAACTGCTCTTCTTGTTTCCATTCTACCATTCTGCAGACACTGGTCATGCCATTATGTCCCTTTAAAAACTAAATAACTGTATTAAAAGCAGCTAGACTTACCCATCACAACTTTTCATCTTTGGGCTTGTTTAGTTTTTTTGAAACATTCATGTCATTTACAGCATAAAGGATTAAATTACATAAAAAAATAAACCTTTTACAGCCTGAAACTAATTTAAAATGACTGGTGATCTCAGCTAGCTGGAATAAAAGCTTTAATCTGATAAAAGAAAGATTTCCTGTCCCCTTCTCTTATTATTCTGGTCTCCCCTGGTGTGTCCCATTTCTCCCTCCACTACACTGACATGAACTGTGTGTTTTTGCGTTAAGGGAGAGAAACCACCCATGTGTAAAAGACGACTGAGATAAGGATAAAAGGAGGAGATTTGAATATTAAAGCTCAGTGTGTGAGAGAGCAAGAGAGGAGGAGTGTGTTACTGATAAGTGGATTTGGGGAAATGACAAAAGGATGTCTCTTTCTCTCGTACAACACAAATGCATTTGAAGTTGAGAATCCGGTTTTGAGGGGCTGTTTTGTGGGGAGTAAGTTATTAGATGCTAGCATGCAGCCGCCCAGCCTAGCACAGCACAGTGAAAGACATCGTGTCAAAACAGGACAATGTGTACTGTTCCCTAAATTAACCTCATATTGATGAAACTTTAAATACCTTTCTTCTGCAGAGTGAAACTGTCTCAGCTTACTCAACAGCTTATGGAAATTCACTGGTAATTTGAGGCTTCCCATCAGTCTCTTCATTTATTTCCATCTTACTTGTTTTTCCTCCCCTACATCTGACCTTTCCGCTTTCCTGAATAGAATTTTTTATCATGCGCTGTCATGCCTAAATCTTATCTAGGCGGTAAGTCACATGGCCTTGACAGTGAAAGAAAACAGTTCTATTCAGTCAGTGATTTTTACAAACAGTTGGAGGAAGAGGAACAGAGTTGGTACATTGTGTTTTCATATGAATTGCTTTCACTTGTGCCATTTTGTGCCTGTAATGCAAATTTCCAACCATCAACTGTGTAGTTGTAGAATGACAAATTCCCCGAGGGAGAACATTTTGCTTTAAATAAATTAAAACTTTTTTCTTACTAAATGACATTTACACAATTTCTAAAAGATCACTAAGGAAGCTCCTGCAGTGACTTGTGCCTAAAATTCACACAGTAACATGCACTGAAGCTGCTCAGTGAATTAAAGGAATACATTGACTTGCAGGGAAAAATGCAACTAATCACCATAGTACAAGTTATTTATATTAAAGTCTTCTTCCCCTCTGTGTATCGTGTATCAAGCATTCTTCTGGATGCTGTGAACAGTTTATTTTAAATACATAATTTCACGAAGTGTCAGTATAAATGGCGGCAACCAACTACATCTTGATAACAGACGCACAGAACTGATAATGTTTCTCTCAAATAAGATTATCAATCTCATCAGAAGTTTGTCCTCTGCGCTATTTAGTCCTTTTCTTTTCATTTCTTTTCACAGTAGTCTGGTAGAGATCAAGCTATTATGGCAAATTAATTATGAATCTTTAGCAGAATTACAGCAATTGCTTTATTGCTAGTGTCTTCCTCACGCCTGCAGTGCAGTTCTATTTGTCATAATTACAGCCAAATGTCACACATAATTAAGTTTGTAAGCAAGAAGCTGCTTCTTGTTACTTCATCCTCATGTCACTCTGAGTATTTGCTCTTTTTTGCTATATTTAAAAAACATGTCAGAAATATTATCTCAGTGTGATTTTACCCCACAGTGTGCTAGAAAAAACACTGCACCCTTTAATGAGAAGAGTAGAGAGTTTGATTAACTGCTGTTTAATTTACTGAAGCGTAAAGGACAATTTTGTTTATCCAGTGGTCTGAAATAAACAGAAAATGCACAGAATTCTGTCATATAAGGTAAAACAGATTTAAAGCTTTTACTATATTTGAACTGATCGTGCTTGTGTTCTTGTGTGGCTACCCCAAAGGCCCACTTTGAACTACAAAAAACCCTGCAACATGCAAAGACTGTGTAGGCACAACACAGATCTCCCTCTAAGTCACTGTATTCCTTTAAATCATGCACCACCGACATGATAAAAATACTCTCCTGAAAACTGGTTGCGGACGTTATGTTAAAGCAGGAGAGATGTACGTGTTTTCTCCGTACACATATCGCACATGTATGTGAACCGCATCGGGAAAAGGAAGGTCAAAAGGGAACAAAGAGCTGAATGAAGAATGGATGGAAAAAGGAACGTCAGATGGAGGTTAGATGGCTACTTACAAACAGAAAACATGGAGGAAAAACCAAGAGTGTTAGCGTCCTGAAGGCCGCCTTGAAAAAAACGGAGGGATGGGAAAAAACAGAAAGACGATTGTTAATGATTGGAAGAGAGGAAAAGAATATCCAGATCATTATCATAGAAAAAGAGTGGTGATTCCAGAAGGTAGACTTCAGAGCACGACGAGGTTCCCTTCATTCTTCACAGCGTCCTTTGACAACGGACAAGCTGCTTCCATTGGTGCCTGTTAACATTCTAATGTGTTCGAAGAAATGCTTATCGAGAAGCATATTTACTCAGAGTAACAGCCATTAAACTAAATGAACTGTAAGGATAAAAGAGGCTACTTTTCCTCTGCTTTATAACTCATGACAGCTTTTTGTCTCTTCAGTTCAAAATTACTCTCAAAATGAGGCACAGCGAAGAGAAACATTCCTAGTATTTTGCATTTCAGCACAGTGAGAGTGAAATTAGAGACACATATCTCACAGAGCTTTTTAAGTGACTCACCATAAACAATAAAGTTCTCATTCGCCAAAGTAGTATTCAAACACGGTGACAAACAATGCAGTCAGATTTTTAGCAGTTGTAATCATGATGACAGACTTACTGTTACAGTTTTAAATGTCACTGTTCGCTGGCAGGCTGAGAAAAACATCATGTTCTGGAGAAATGATTTAACTAAATTACAACCATTATTTCCCCAGTACAAACATCATTAGCAGAAGAGATGGCAACAAGGAAAGACAGGATGAGGTTGAAATTGGGAAGCAAGACAAATTGATGTTGGCTGAGATGAAAATTCCTCACAGAAACGGACAAAGTAATAACAAAAAACAACCAGGGAAAAGCACACAGATGTGAAGAGACAGTAAAGCTGTAATTTTCTGTAATATCAGAAAAGAACCCAGCTGATCTCTAAATCTTCGCTGCATCAACTTCAAGTGTGTGTAAATCACAAAAATGCAAAGCAGCTGCAGCAGGTTCATCAAGGCCCAACTGCACTCAAATCCACACCCAAAGTATCTGCAAACATGCTGCAATCTACAGCCGGTCTGGGAAAGTCTGTGTGATTATGAGGCACATCCAATACTCCAACAAGGTTAGTGATTTTAGCTTAAAACTCCTTGTTCATGCTTGTGAGGTTTGAATGAGTCACTCAAAGTCAAAATTCCCTGCGATCTCAGTTAGGTTACAACAAGGCTGTGACGGCTCAGGAAAAGAGCAATCTGAATTTTTTGGCCATCAGCTTTGTAGTCACTCTATTAGTTTAGTGATGAGAAGACAAACCCTGGCAGACTGTTTACTCTGGGGCTTTATGCTAACACTGCAGTGCCTGATATTTAGAGATAGAAAGTGTCTAGTGTTGTTTTGAAGTAAGGAAATAGGAATTCAGAAATTAAACAGGCAACTTTAATACTCCCCCAAAAAAGGACACAGGCACTGTTTCACTTTCAGGCCAATCTGTGGTCATTAATTAAACTGCAAAAAGTTTATCTCTGTGTATCAAAAGAAGTTTCTTCCATTAAATATTATTATCCTACCTTAAAACAGTGTAGATGCAACTCTACATAGTTGTACCCTTTAGAATGTACATATCTATGGAGTCCCTGCCTCTACCTTCATGTCCCCCAAGCCTGCAGTTTAACACAACAGCTCACCTATGACTTGGTGAGTGGCTGTAAAACTATTCTACAATATATAATAGCAAACTGCAATACAGGAGAAATTCAGCCATTCAAGTTTGAACTGTAAACAGATTCTAAAGAAGACTTGTGATACAGAAAACCCGACTCTGCAAGTTGAAGGGACAGGTTCTGTAGGTTTATACATATGAAATCCTACAAGTCTGAATCTGTGTTTTCGGGACGCTGCAGCTTCACACAGAAATGCTCAGGCATGAGGCTGACTGCATATGTCGCTCATGATATATCTTCCAACATATATAAAAAAGAAAACACCACATGGACACGTTAGCTAGCAAGACAAAGAACATGATTTTTATGGCTTTACAGCTTTTGGTTAAACCAAAGGTGTCAACACATGCTTTTAAAGTAAAACTGAAAGTTTAAAAGTGTGACAATGCCTCTGTCCTTTTTTGAGTAACCTTACTCTTTTAAGTTTTAAACACCAGTGAATCTATTGCCCATACTGTGTTTGTATTATAATGTTACCATTGCTAGGTCTGACAGTTTTCTGCATTACAGGAAATGTGAAGAAAGCATGACAGTGAATTGAGTGGCCTCTCCTGTCAACAGATCTGAATTCAATAAAACACCTGCGCGATGTGGTAGTGTGCACGATTAGCAGCATGAAAGTGCAGCAGACAAATCCGCAGACATGATATGTTTAAACCTTGTCAACACAGAACAAAATTTGGAAGGAATGTTTCCAAACATCTTGTGGAAACCATGACATGAAGAATTGAGGCTGCCTGAGAGCACATGGAGGCTCTACCCATGATCAGTATGGTGCTCCTAATAAAGTGGACACTGAGGGTGAATTCTGACTTTGTATTTGGACTTCAGAATAGCAACTGCAAACAATTTGTGCAGGAAAAGAAGATGGCTGCTTAGTGGAGTCTGCCAAGTGTACCTCTAAAAACACGACTGCACAGCAAATACATTTCTGAGTGAGTGTTGTAACAGTAAACTGGGCAGCTAATCTTAGAATCGATAATTAAGAAAAGTGAGAAGGTTCTTAGCCCTAGTTTTGATATAGCTGAATGTGACTATGATATGAATTGATATGTAGTTCTGTTAAGCTAAAATCCCCAAGCATTACTAAGCATGCACATTAACAAATGAGCAAATATCCCAAAACTTGTTGAGAAACTTGTCAACACTTTTATGTCACTCTCCACACCATGCCACAGGCAGAGTGGATGTGGAGGAGGATTACAGTTGGAGGAGAACTGGCGGAGAGCGACGTGGTTGCAAAAGGAGTGAGTCCTGGTCTTGGTGGTAGGAGGAGGATGAGGAGGAGGAGGAGGAGGAAAAGAAGAGGGAGGGGAAGAAGGGTTTTTGGGTGGAGGAACAGGCTGGAGGATGAAGACAGGGGAGGAAGGGGAGGACAGCGGGGAGGAGAGGGTGGATATGGTGGATGGAGAGATGGGGGAGACTGGTTCAGAACCAGAGTGAGAGGAGGAAGAACCTGAGACTAAAACAAAGAAAATAAAATAGAAATGAGTGAAATTAATCAAGGAATAAAGAAAGGAAAGACACAAAGGCCACTGGTCTCTAATCAGCACGTACTTTTTATAAAACTACAACTACATTTCTAGAATTCTGTCATATTTTACATTTAATCATCATAATAACTGTAAAGCATCTTATCCAACAGGAAATACTGTTGCCAAAACAATATCTGACCAGAAATCAGTGAAAAGAGTTAGTTAGATTGGTTTACAGACATTTTCTTCCAATATCTGATAATGGCTCAATAAAAAGAGAAGAAGGAGGAAGCCATGTGGCCTTAATGATCTTAAAATCACTTCTTAGATGAGAAAGAAAAACACTGAGCTGAAACACATTGAGCACGGGGGCCCTGTGTGTATGTGCGTGTGTGTTTGTGTACATGTATTTACCAGTCTCAGGATCACTGAAGTCAGGCAGAGTCATGGCGTTGAGCTGTCGTCTGTCTGCTATGGCTCTATCCAACAGACTGCTGCCACGCCCCGAATCACTGCCACAAACACACAGGTATGTACACATGAGACACAGGTACACACACACACACAGGCAAAACAATGTTTTTGTATTGGCCTGGGTGGCTAATCAAACATAAAGCAGAGAGATAATACAACCATGTTGTTTGTTAGCTTCAAGTGAATGAGGTCAAGGGGAACTGGGTGCAGCAGTTCTGCATAAGCATAAAGTGAGCCTAAAGGAAGAGTTTTCTATGAGGGACTATTGATTAACAGCTTGGGCAATTATCAAATCTAATATTCTACATTTTTCTAAACAGGGGTATCATTATTTTTTTTTTAACTGACTCCTAATAAAACCAACTAAATTAAAAGTGTGCTACTTTGGCTCTGATGCCCCTCTAGACCTCCACAGTACTATCTGATTGGTGACACGCTACAAGTAATAGCCTATCAGCAATGATGGATGAAAGTTGAAAAGTTGTCTTTTAATTAGATTGATATAAAACATAAAGTCATTTCAACAAACTTCTATGCTGGAGTTTGCATTATTTAAAATATGCAGACACCAAGATTTTCATTTTTACTCCAACTGTATATCGGTTACAAACACTTGTTATCGCTCTCATTCTTCACTAATAATGAGCCTTAAAAAAAAAAAAAACTCACTAACTGATGTGTCTCCTGAGGAAAATGCACTTTAATAAAAATGCACAATGGAGCCTTTTCATTCAGAGCATAACATACATATTAAATTGTTAATGCTAACACTAGTTGACCAAATGACAGAAATGTTGGGAAATCATCTCTAATTTAAAATTCCATAAATACTACTAACCTAAAAGTGTGTTTCCTCATGCTCCATTAAGCATACACACTCAGCTCCACCTACCTACAACTAATGCACTCTAATCCAACACTAATGCAATAAATCCTACCTTCAAGAATGTTAAAACGTTCAGTTTTTGTTGAAACTGGCATCGATTCAGCAGATGTTTCTATTAATTCATCTACTCTGTTTTTATCAGTAAGGTTGGAAAACACCTCTTTATCACCTGAATGTATACTTATATTATACTTACATATACAAGCACTTAAAAAAGCCAATCAAGTTTGACGTGTGTGACCCCAAAAACCTAGGAAGTTTTGCTGGAGCTTTTGATGCTACAGTGACTGATATTAGTGGTGGAATCTAATTTAATTTTTACAAACATGGTGGACTGATATTTACATTTGGGGTATGTGTATGTGTACCTGGGATTGGTCAAGTTGTAAAAGCTCTTCCAGATCTGCAGCATGTGTTTACAGGTTAGCAGAGCCTCTTCTGGCCCTCTACACATCGCCTCCAGCTTCACCTTAGTGTACAGCAGACTGCAATAGACAAACATTTAGAATCTTGGTCAGTCAACAGTTCAAATAAACAGAAGTAACAACCTTCTTCTGTGTGTGGCTTAAATGAAATGCTGTGGTTTTGTGTGTGTGTGTGTGTGTGTGTGTGTGTGTGTGTGGTGGGGGAGGGTTTACTTGAAGTTCTCGGGGTACTCGGACAGAGCCATTTCTATAATATTGAGACCGTCGTGGTAGTGTTTCTGGGCAGAGAGAAGCAGGGCCAGCAGATGAAGGGAGTGGACGTCATCTCCTTGAAGCTGCAACGCCTGTCGGACATAGCCTAGTGCCTCGGGGATCTACATGCACACACACGTATACAAACTACAGGTTTTCACTAGAATTGGGATGAAAAGCACCATGTAAAATGAAAGATGTATAACTTATCAATGTTATGACTATGGTTGTTTGCCTTTCATGTCTCAAATGTCCATGGTTTTGATATGTACGTACTGATCTTATCTTATTACTCTGTATTGTGTTACCTGTCTGGACACAGCGAGCTGTAGGGCTAAGTAGAAGGCAGCTAGATGGTCAGTAGGAGACAGACTCTGAGCTCTACGGAGAGAGAGAAAATAGATTTTGTGTTCAAGCCGAATAAAAAATTAAATAAGATTAGATGAAACTTTAAAGATCCCTGTGGGGAAGTTAAGCTGGTGCAGCAGCAAAATGGAAAAAGGGGAGCACAGACACCACAGTAACACAACAAAAATCTAGCCAGAGGATATTTAAATATTTGGACACAATAATCATCTACAACATCACATTAATAAACTAAAATGATATAAACAAAAAGCACGAGAGGGCATGCTGTAGTATTATATTGATGTAATAAATGGTAATAACTGTCACTCTCAGAGTATATTTATGGATAAAGGTTGTCTAAGGACACAAATGAATGCCAAATCATACACTGTGTGCTGACTATGACGTAGGGTCAAATGAATCAATGTGAAATACAATACCCACGTAGGGTGGTAACTTTAAACTGTTCTTCAATGTGTGAGATTGAAAGGAAAAAAAAAAGCAGCGAACTGTGACAAAACAATTCACAGGTAGTAGTGGGTGTTTAAAAGAAAACAGAGCACCATGGCTCAGTCCAAACCTCTGAAAGGCTCCTAAAGCTTTCCTCTGGTAGTCCTCCTGTGTGCTTCGCAATGATGCTAGAGATACAGGAGAGAGTGAAACAGTGAGATACTTAATACAATAATGATGTACATGAACAGCAGTTGCTTGAGAGACACAACAGTGGTCCCTCTCTGGTCATTGACTAAACCCCTAACAACTCATCTCGGTTTCCAAATGACATATTTAGAAGTTTTTCCATGAACATAATGTCTTCCTGCTTCAAACTGGTTTAGATGTAACTCTACAACATTGCTTTCTCTATAACGTGTGAATATACAAAGTCTGTGTCTGTCTTTCCACTGTTTCCTCCTCACTCAATGCAGCTCGAGAACACCAGCTCACCTACGATTCTACTCAAACACTGCAAAACTATTCTAAGCTACACATTACCAAGTTGTAACATTGGAGTAATTTAGCTACATATGTTAGAACTGGAGATTGATTTTGAATAAGAATAATGATACAGAAAGTCCTTGACAGATTGGTGAATCAGATTAGTTTTGTATGAAACCCCAAAAGTCTGAATCTGTGTTTTTCAGACCGTTATCAGTACATTGAAGTTTCATGGTGGACATGCTAAGCCATGGTGTTGACTGCTTGTTTTACTCATGATGCATCTTTCAGTACATTAAAAAAAACTTCATGTGAACAGTTGATGAGATAAAAAAACAACAACTTGATTTTCACTTGAGGAGGTCATTAAACAGAGCAAGGCCTCTGACACATGTTTCCACTCTTTAAAACATTCAGGCCACAAACAGAAATGGATGCATGTTTTGTCATAACTAACAGCATTTTGACCAATCTGCCCAACTTCTTACTTAACAGGAAAACTAACACAAACGCTTTGTAAAATTCTTTCATAGAAAGAAACAACAACAGAGCAAGATTCTTATCTTGCACAAGCACGTATGCTGCACAGACTTACCATCAGTGGCTTTGAGGCTGTAAACCAGGCCGATGGCCAAGTAGCCTTTGGCTCTGAATTCAGCTGCTTTCTCTCCCATGTCAATCACCATTTTTGCAAAGCACTCCCCTTCATCCAGCTGAATTATGGCAGTAGAGAGATATAAAATGATAGGCAGAGGAAGGAAAAACGAGGGAAAAAAATGTGAGGTTCAACGGGTTTCATGTTGCATAACAAAGTTGCTAGGTTGGGCTATTGACATATATTAAAGGCAACCTCCCCACATGTATTAGTCTTCTTAAGGAGCAACTCGAGAAGCTGAAATTCTGAGTCATCTGTTAGCTGTGTTAGACTTTATGACTGCTGAATGGTTCTCACCCAGTGCAGAGGTCCAATACACAGTTTGACAGCCAGCAGTGGGATGGTGGGATCATCAGGCTTCAGACGAATACACTCTTTAAGGACCTTAACAGCACGAGCTGACTTGCCAGCTGCCATTAGTGACAAGGCGAGCTGGTACCACAAATGGAACTCCTCGAAGGCAAACTTCATGGCTCTCTCTAAACACTGCAGACATCAAAAATAAGACAAATTTTTCAGTTTAATCAGGGTATCTGTAACCGTTATTAATTTATTTCAGTCAGTTACACTATATTGTTACGAGACAATCATTTGTTCAGAAAAAATATTGAGCTAAAACTGCTGTAATTCCATGTGGGTGTACTATGGGAAGGATAGCTGATTTAAGACTTCACAATCACTATGATTGTGACTGTGCAGCCCACAGAGGGATTATTCACCTCTGACAACATCTCATACTGCCCCCTCCTGCCCAGAGCTATAGTCAGCAGGTCGTACACCACAGAGGCAGACTGTAGGCTGATGATCCGATCATTGTTGTGTTCAGGAATTCTGCTCAGGACAGCGTCACGGTTAGCCTGAAACACACAAAAGCACAAATATAGATGTAAAAACTGCACTATGGCAAGGTTTAAAAAGGAGAGTTTAGCATCTACCACAAAACAAGCAGGAGATGAAGAGTGTTTGTGTCTTACCATTGATTCACTGATGAGCAGAAGCAGCAAAGCTTCTTCTGTGTTTTCCTGAGGGCAAAACAGGCTGGTAGAAAAGGAGATAAAAGTGATAAGGACAAGATGGAGAGAGCTGTTGGTGGAAAAAGTACACTGGCGACAGATTTCATTTTGCAGCCATTTTGGCCATCTTCCACTATATTCCCAGTTTAGCAAAAACAAACACACGCTGTCACTTACTTCTCTCCTGAGTACACTCGTGGGCGTCGGCTTAGGCTGTAGTTCTTGCTGTGAGTGTGTCCCTGCCGTGTAGGATCGTCCAGGGGTGACACTGTGGGTGGGTCTTCCAGAGGAGACCAGTAGCTCTGTTCACACATTCCTCTGAGCAAGATCTCTGCAAGCTGTCTGGCTATGGTCTAAATGCACACAACACATACACAAACATTAGGTAAAGACATTCAGCCACTAACACAGCAGCAGTCTGTTTACTTAAGGGTTGCATTTAGGGAAATACACTTCTTCACTATCTTGCTCAGACTGAGGCTTCGTTCAGACTGCAGGCAAATTAGATTTGTATTTCAAAACAGATCTTTAAGATAGATGGTCAGCATTGTTATTTGCAAGTGATCAGATCAGATTTGGGTGTAACTATCTGCATGGGTTACTGATGTAGTTGGCAAGAACTACATAGCTATGCTGTAGACATGCTTGCCAATGCAGAAGCATGACAAATGGAGGTCCATCATCTTGCCTTGCACTTTCAATTTATTTCAGTCACAAAAGTGTCCTTGGACTCTTGTTCTCCGTGTTGTCCTTCCCAGTGTTCAGCAAGGAGCAAAATGGATTTTGCTCAGCATATTTGTCACTCTGGAATTGACGTTGTTATTGCATGTTGTGCTGCATGTGACCGATTTGAGATGCATCTGGAGTCACATTTCAATTTATCTCCAAAAGTGGTTTGGAGATGATTTAACAAAACAAAACAAAACAAATAACAACAACCTTCCATGCGTTTTTTTGCCGTTAAGACTTTCTAAAATCAATCTGTATGTGTGCCAAATTGGATTCGCTGGAGCTCGATTGGGTACTGTTCTAAAAAGGACACTGAGCATGTCAGATAGGAAGGGGGGTGGGCCACACCTCAGAGGCTGGGACCAATCTGGTACAGGGGGCCACACATCCTACTCAATATACATCAAAACATTACAAAGAAGGTTAGACATAAGCTGCACCCGTGACAATTTTCCAAAAAACTGGACTTGGTTTGGCAGTCTGAACAAGGCCTTAGATGACAACACTGACATCACTCTCATGGCAGTAAATACAAAACTGGAGCAGTAGTAAGCAGTAAAGTCTGGCTTTGTCTGAAGTTAAGAAAACCTGCCTTCTAGGGCCTTCAATGCTCAGTAAATACCACATCACAAATCAAGCGGATAAGTATGTTTCCAAAATGTCAAACTAGTCCTTTAAGTAAGCCAAATGAGGAGCCTGAGGGAAGTGAAATTCAAACGTACTTAATCTCTAATCAAAATAAACAGACAACATCACAACTCATTCCTCACCATGCGTAGGTTCTGGGTGGTTCTTGTCTCAACAGCCCGAAGAATCTCCCGAAACCTGCCCACACCTTGTGTGAGGTTGCTATGGCAAAAACAGGAAGAAAAACACTAGTCAGACACTGTAATGTGCATTGTGAATACATGATATCTCAACACAGACAAATCTTCATACTCTAAAGCATGTCCAAAACATCCCCCCTTATCTATATATGTGTAAATCAGTGCAAATGCAGACGGTGTTTCTGTAAACCTGAAATTTGACAGTTCAAGAAGGCACTGCAAAAGTCTTAAGGTGATATCCCAAAGTCGAGCAAACTACATCCCAAACATTAACATTCACAAGTCTCACAACGATCTTTGATGTTTGTTCATGCTGTGCTAGGCAATCTGCATGGTGGAAGCTTCAAATGAGAGAAGAAATTATGTCAGATAATGCTAGTTTGAATTCATTACTTGCTGTGTGATGTAGTGTTTATACCTGACACCAGAATTTAAGATGGATAAAAAGAGCACATCTACAATGTCGACATATTTTAACTTTGCTCTATTCCCTGTTCCTGACACTAAAGTAGATCCATAGCAACAACAAAAAAAAAGATGTAGCAATGGGCCAAAACAAGCTGCAAAGACAGACAGATTTCATGCAGTCCACTACAAAGCTCCTAACCTCCAGCATAAGGCCTGAGCAGCTGCTGCAACACTGAAGCTATCTTTGCTGTACTTCAAACAGCAACACTGCGAGAACTACTTCGAGCTGCACTGTGTATGTTACTTAACTGTGTTCACACTTTTCAGCTTTTATCCACTGGTCAGCAGCTTTGTAACACAACAACTGCAAAGTGGGTGGAAAGTGCCCACAAAGGGTTGTTCGTGATTTCTGTTTGGGAATTACGCCCTTTCCAAACTTGTAAAAAGTTCAGTTATAGCAAAACCAGTGTAAATACTGTTAAAATGTTTCCTGGGAATCAATCATAGGTTTTTAAACATAATCTCTATGTTCTTTGGGTTCTGAAGTCAACTCTTGCATCTGTCCATCTATCCACCACCAACTGCTTGCTTTTCTTACCCGTTCTTGAAGTGGATGACGTGGGCTCTCTGCAGGCCTGTCTCCAGGAAGTAGCCCAGTTCCTGGTCCTGGGCTGTTGGGCCAGGCTTTGGGCTGCGGTTCTGAATCCCAGCTGACAACGCCTACAGAAACACACAAACAGATAAAGAAATAAAGGAATCAGCAAATCCAAATCATACAAAGTTTTGATTGAAAACCTCCTAACCTAAGTCAAAATGTTCTGTCTCTACAAAAAAGGCCTCAAAGCAGCCAAAGCTCGTCACTGAACAATGCAAAGGCTGGCTTTCCAACGTTTGATAAATGGCTGCTGCTGGCTGAATGAAAAAGTGGGTTAACTAAAAATAATGAGCTGCGGTGAGTCATCTTTGTACCAGCTATGTATTTATAATAATAATGTGGAATCTTAGACAACATATTTTCAGGGGGAAAAAAACTCGCCAGTAAGATTTCACAATTGAAAATGACTCATTTATTATTTTGGGTAGGTTCAAACATCATAAACATTGAGTCCTGTCCACACAGGCTCCATGCTGTAACTGAGGCCAAAGGTGCATCTGCTAAACACTCACTTGAATGGGGTGAATTTATATTAACTGACAGTACTTTGTAGAAATCAGTTGTCACTTTCAAACGAAAGAGTTGTTTTTGTAAATTCTTGTCCAAAAAAAGGCCAGTCATATTATATTAGATATTATAGCAGGAAATGATTCTCCTTTTTAGATTATTTTGACAACAAATGCTCTAAATTCTCTGGTTCCAGCTCCTCAATTATAAGTATTTACTGTTTTACTGTGCAATACATTTTTAAAAAATATATAGAATTTGGACAGTAAGAAGGACAAACAAGACATTCAAAGACTCTGATGTACATTTTATCAGTCATATAATTCATAAAACAACCAGCAGATTGTGGAAATAACTGCTAGTTGCATTCATGGATGCAACTACCTTCTTTATGTAATGTATAATATCACTGTGATATTTTAAAATATTCCTGTAAGTGATGTTTCTTTCTCTCCATACTGTGGGCACACTTTAACCATTGTATTCCCTAAATCATGCCTATGGTGTCTCACAGTTTTTGTTTAATTTAGGGAATATTTCTCACAACATTCTAAATGCATTCTTGCTGGGACTGTTTGATTAGATTCCTCCTGTGGTTTACTGCAGTTCACTCAGTCTGTGCGTCTGCTCAGATGCTTTCCAAATAAAGAGGAAGAGATTTGTTTGCCAGCTGGCTATCATGGGCAGCAGCACATTACTCAAACTTGCACACTTAGGCAGCAGAGTACTCATCACACATCCTCAGAGATGGCAAGATATTTGATGAGCACTTGTGTGACACTTGAAGAAAACACTGCACAGGGTAGTTATCAACTAGTAGGCCAATTTCACATCCTCACACACACACACCTTCTCAGCCTCCTGCAGGTAGAGCAAAGCAATGTCTCCAGACTTTTCATAGCAGGTGATGATTTCCTGCTCCCGCTCCGTTGTGCTCCTATTGGACAACGGAGACCCAGTGTTCTTATTGGTAAGAGATGGAGAGGCAGCTGGGACCTTTTCTAGACACAACCCTGGGCAGAGAGAGAGAGAATCATCAGGGTGATAGGAAAACAAATAAGACGTGATAAAGGTCATAAGTTGGTTATCACTGTCTGTGTTTGTCTTTTTCACTTTTTCACACCAGGATGATCAACTTCTGTTACTGATGAATGTTTTTCAACACGAAGTGCTTTGTGACTCAAAAAATAAAAGATAATTTTAGTCGGCACATTCATATCCTTTCAGTCATAAATGACAGATTACAGTTACTTGAGTTCAGTCGTTCAACCAATTGCAGTCTGTTCTACAGGCTGATGAAAGAACAGAATGACAATAAAAAAAGGAATACACCAACTAAATATACATTATTCAAGGACAAACAGTGATGCCTGTCGACTGTGCATGTATTCATATTACTGGCTGCACCACTGCTGTTGATCAGCAGTGATGCTGTACTGCCACCATGTGGAGACAATGAGTACTGCAGAGATTAAGGCACATTAGATTGAAGACAGGTGAGGCAAGTTTAAGAAGGTCATGAGACATAAAATGATGACTGTGGGTCTGTGTGTACCTTTAGTAGCATAAGCCTCTGCTATCATGGACAGCCTGTACACAGGAGCTCCCGCCAGCTGCATATCATCCAGGCTCACCCGGCTGTAGTGACCTGTCAAAACATCAATTCAGGATCAATGAACAAACTGTCTGACTCCTTAGTTTTTTTTTTGATACAAAAAAATCAGCAAGACTTATCCCAATACTAAAATTGGAAAGTCAGTTAAAAAGCAAAAGAAAAAAAAAAAAAAGAAGAGTGTGTGGGCTACCTAAAGCATCTCTGTATTCTCCTTCCACATAGCAGAGTTTAGCCATCAACAGGCTGGCTTCCTGGAGGTAATCAGGCTGGAGGAGACAAAATGTGAATTTAAAAAGTGAAAATTTCTTGTTTGGCATCTTTAGTGTTATACATGGATTTTTTGAAAGTCTGCATGAGCATGACAGCCACTGAATCACTTAGTTAATTATCTGTCATCGTGTGGTTACCTTGAGGTTTCCTCTGTCCAGAGCAGCAGTAAGGTGCTTCCTGACCTCCACCAGTTTAGGTCGTGGGCCCCTGGGACTGGCACCTTGTTTGATGGGATTCTCCTTCAAGTATGTCTGGAGCTTGCATTCCCCCAACAACAGCTCACCCAAGTCATCTACACACAAACAAACATTAAGTGTAATGATGACACTGCACCTATTGGTCCTCATCCCTCATGTCTCTCTAATGCACTAATGTTACCACTTTAATATGCTTGTCACAGGGCCTACGAAAAAATACTGACTCTAAGGGCAAACAATGGTCAGTGTTGCTTCACTATACATAGCTGTAAAGTCAACCAGAGATCAACCGAAAACCAATCCAAGGTCAATATACAATTAACTGATATTCAAATAAAAGGTGAAAGAAATATTAATAATTATTAACAATGGAACATTGTGGGGCCAATCGAATGACAATGTGTCCAGTGTCATGGTTGCCCTGTTAGAACTGGGACTGGGACACAACAGGATCAAAACTCAAGTCATGACCCTTAATATCAACAACCCAGCACCAATCACAGTGCAGGGAGAGGAATGACCAGTGACGGACAGTTTCACACATCTGGTGAGCATGTTCAGACAAGAAGGATGTGCTGGCAGCAAGCATCCAGAGCAGGTTCATCAAAGCAAGGCCTGCAGCATGAACTGTGTGTGGAGGTCATAGCAGTACAGCACAGACACTGAGCACAGGCTATACCAGAGCTGTGTTCGGTCCCTTCTACTGTATGGTTCAGAATGTTAGAAAAAGATGTACAGTGACCTTATTGAACTATTAACTAGCTTGAGGAAAATCCAGGGTAAGACAGCATGAAAACCATTCTAATGGTAAGATGTTGGAGGTGGCTTGGACATGTCATCAGAACTGAGAGTGGTTCTATCACAACACAGCTCTACAGTGTACACCAGAGGGGAAATGCAAAAGAAGACGACCCAAAAACACACACTGTGGAGGCAGAGATAAAAACTTTCAACCATAGTTGGAGCACCAGTGAGAAACTGGCCTGAGACAGACAGACAGGTGCCGAACCTTCGACCATGTCTTAGATACTGGGTATTTAATAGTAAGTCCCACTGGTGAAACTGCAGCCAGTAAATTTAAGTACATAGGAGCACTGCTTTGCTTGCACACATACCAGCCAGAATTATGAACAGTTTGTAAATCATGTATTTAGTGTGTGAGCATGTGTGTGTGTGTGTGTTTAGATATTCAAAGGCTAAAATGGCCAGTAATCCTGTTACTGATCCCAGTCAGTGACCACAGCTCACAGTTCTTATGTGTCAAATTCCATTCAATAACAGCAGCAATTCTCATGCTGTTAGGACACCAGCTGCCACATTTGATTATTTCACAATTGTACCATAGCAGGCATTTCTGTTTCAGGTTACATATATAGAAACACTGATTCTACATGATTCTTTTTCGTCTATGACACAATCACATTCCCTCTCTGTGGTAGCATGCCCCCAAACACTTCTCACCAAAGCAAAGACGGGCCAATAAAACCAGAAGCAATGGTAAAGCTTTCTGAAACTATTTCACTCAAAGCCAAGTAATGTCACATACTGTTTGTCATATCTGCAGTCCACGCAGTCAGTGTTTGGACAGTTTGACATTTTCAGTTTCAGAACATCTGATTTGAAATAAAATGATGGCTATTACTTTGAAATGCCAACTCTCAGCTTTAATTCAAGTAAGTTTACATCAATACAGAAGGAACAATGTGGGGGATGTAACCCTTTAAGCAGTGCGCAAAGTTCAGGATTTAAATGTAATACAGTAAAATCATCAGTAAATGCCAGGTTTGATTGGCAGCATTACATGTATAAGGTCAGAAAAAATCACTATGTTTGACTGAGGAGGAAGAATACTTTGAGCAGTGTGCTGTTTTTCTCCACACTACCATCACTACCATCCCTTTGATAGAAGTTGTTTTTTTTCTCCTACCAGTCAATAGAATTCAGTTCCACCAAACTACTACAGATTCTACTAACAACAAAGCTTAATAACTGGTATTTGAGAATGTACCTATCTGTTTTTTGGGCAAACCAAAAATTTTTAATATCTATATTTTTCCACTTTTTGAGCATGGCTATCATCACCTTTACTCATTATACTGACGCACAACTCTACCTAAAAATAAGTGGCAACTCTCAATCAACCCTCAGCCAAGCATTTGAGGCCCTTTTGTACATGAACTAAAATAGAAATGACATGAAGAAATATATAGTAGCTAAGTGTGTGTTAAATTCTGACTCTGTGTTAATAGGGCTGTATTTCTCACATAGTTATTTCTATATCACAACATTGAAGCTAAGAGCTGGTACTTCAGTGTGGTATCCATTCTTTTCTTTCAAATCGAATGTGCTGAAGAACAAAAAATGTCTAACACTCACATTTGAGGTCAGATGATTTGTAAATTTTCTTCACAGAAGACTTAAGACTATTGTATTTGTGGCTTACAGTTTACAGAAGTCTAACAATACCTTTTATAGTATGCCACAGACCAAAAGTCGTCCTAAAACAAATACAAAACTCAGAGAGCACTCTCTTTAATTACTTTTCTTGGCCTCATCTTGCCTTCTATTTTTTTTCTTTCAAGAGCGCTTAATGTTTGGCGTTCAATTTCTAGAATAACCTCTCAGCTATGGACATTATGCTCTTAAGGCTGATAGGTAATAACCGCATTAAACTGTCATACAGATTTCTTGATAGGAAGATGCCAGGGACAGAGTAGGACATATTCATCACATTTAATGTTTCTATGGTAGTTAAATGCAATGAGCAACATGAGCATGCCTCTGCTATTTCAAATGTTTGCAGGACAGAGAAGCATTTTTCAGTATCTGCAGTGCAGTATACCTCCAGCATCACAGAATCAAGATAAGTCTGTTTGGAAAATCTGTTGATTACAGGCACCAACTATGAATGGTATCTAAACATAAAAGTATTGGGAATACGTGAATGTGAATTGCACAGGAAGATGGCAGATAATGATTTTTACACGCAATTCTAGTAAACAAGTTTGCATATATTCCATCTTCCTTTTAAATCAAATGTCACGAAGAAAAAATCCCAGACAGCGTGAACGCAACACGATGCTAATGACGCCACATGTATACAAATGGGAATTTATACATAAAATCAGAAACAAGGCATGAAATTTGCACTGCGTGATTTACTATTTGTTCATCTGTAAATTTAAATATCACAGTGTCATTAACGACTATTTTCCTAAAAATGTGCTGCTGACAGTTTCACTGTTGAGCTCCATCAGCAGCGAGTTTAACAGTGAGCATGTAGCAATCACGCCTCTCAGTAGAGCTAGCTCGGATGCGAAACTACAATTTAAAAAAGTACCAAGTTTGAGTCTTCAGCGGATTAGGCAAATGTGTGACCTTTCTGGGGCAAATATTAAGGCATACAACAAATACCAGCAATGTTATGGAGCATTCGGCTTCAATAAAAATCCAACAGAGGTTGTTTTACTTCAGTAAAAGCACAACTGAGGGACGGGTTAGGATTGGCTAGCATCAAAAATCTGTCAGTTTGGTAACAAGAGGGCAACGAGCAAGAGAAATGAAACAGTTCTGTAATTTTACTATTACACCTCTGTTTGGTGGGATGCAGGTCAGTAATTCCTAAAGCTTGACACACACGTCAAGCAACGACAACATTAACCTAATGACAGATTTCTGAATGAAGTTCCGCTTGAGTGGAGAGCAGAGCGACCCAGGAGCACCACTGTCACACCGCACAAAACTGGTCATGTCTTAAAACTCAGTCTATTACAGTGTGTCTACATCAATCCACCCGAAGGTAGAACCATCCCTCGTTAAAGAAAAATTCTCTCTCTTGACCTTTACTGGCTAACTGGCTCTGAGCAGAGCAGAGCTGAAAACTCCCAGCATCGGCTGCTGCTGTCAGGAAGCACCGAGGACTCAGGCCAGAGAGAAGGCCTTGTAGGCTGAATGAACGACTAAACCGGGAAACCCGCACGTTTCTTACCGTTGGATATTAGTTTGGCCGAGAGCTGTCGTACCAGCTCTGGTATCTTGTCCCACTGGCACTCTGAGCGGCACCGCTCTATCTCGGTCTCCAGTCGTGAGCCAGACTTCCTCGCTGTCATTTTGGTGAGTGGGGTCGACTGGACCAAAACACCAGCAGAGGCTCCCTCCCTCACTGAGCGAGCGTCAAGCTGCCGGCAGCACAACCACTGCTGCAGGTTGCTGCTGTCAAAATAAAAGTCTGATTACCAACGGTCACGACTGAACAAAAATCTCACTTTCGGTTAAACATGCCCTTTGTATAACATGCACTTTCGGTGAAACATGCTCTGTTAGTTGTTACATCCATCCATATATTATCTATACACCGCTTAATCCTCACTGGAGCCTATTCCAGCCGACATAGGGCGAAGACAAATGACACAAACTGATTATTGAAATATCAAACGTAATAACCAATTACTTTATTAGTTGACAACTAATTAATTATTCAATGCATCTGTGCGGTTCTATCATGCAAAACAGCTATCAACACGTACAAGCGATGACAGGGGCTGGCTTTGCTTTTCACGTTTTACTATGAAGAAATAAGACCGGAAGTGTAGCTGCTATTAGCAAGTCACAGACACGTTTGCAGTGAGGTGCAGCGATTACTGAGATGGCAGATTTGTCGTTGTATTTAACTAATGTCAACGTTTCATTGGGACAAACTATGGAAGCTGATAAGGTTGGTTGATACTTATACAACTTTCTCCGCCATCGTGTACGTGAAAGGTAAAATAAAGACTAATTAGGTTATAAACTAAGTACTTCCCTAGCTAAGAGGCTAACGTTCAATAAACACTAAGTAGCTAAAGTAAGCTAACTAACGTTACAGTGCTTTGCTGTGGTAACCGTGTGCTGTCATGAAGTCTAATCTGTTTTACTTTACTTTCCCCCATGTGCAGCAGCAGAACATGTCGTGAGGAATAATACTTTACACATAAAGTTAGTTAAATAACTTTGGAAAGTTACCTATGTTTTATTTGTGTGATTTAATTCTGCTAAATGCCACCATAGCGCAGTACAGCACGTCAAACCTGTTGTACTTCTGCCCTGCTACCAACACTTTAGCAGTAATACAAACCCAGAGCACACCTAACACACCTGTTCTGTGATGATGCTAACTGTTTTAATATGTGAATCATCATCAGTGTACAGGAGGGGCGGAATTTGAGAGTGTGGAGATGGGGGACAGTGCAGTGAAGCAGGGGAAGGTGAAGGTTCCCCGCAGAACCATCTACTTTGCCAGTGGAGAGACCATGGAGGAGTACAGCACTGATGAGGAGGAGGAAGAAGAGCAGGCGCCTGTGAAGAAAGATGTAACTACGGTAGATCCGGTAGGCTGGGATCAGAAGTTTCAGAACTCTGACTTCATTGAAACAGTTGGGGTTTTCCAGAGACTGAGGGCACCTCACCAGAAGACACAGTTTCTGTTTCTTTACTTTGCATACACGACTCTCATTTGCAAATCCCTATTCCATTTGGGAAGCGCATCTCAGAATGTATAAAACCAGCTATACGTGGTTTAGAATACCAATGAATCACATTACATCTTGTAAGTGACAGGGGTTGCCCATAAGGAGAAGCCCTGTGTGAAGGATCACCTCACTCTGCTGCTCCTCTCAGTTTCATGGAGCTTTTTTGCATTTTCAGCTCACAGCTGGTGGTTTTTACAGCCCATAACGCCACTGTTTGTTTTCGTCTCACTGCTCTCATTAGCATCATTTCCAGATGATGCTTGTAATTTTGAAATAGCTTTAAAAACACAGCTATACCTTATCTGCACTAAATATCAGACAGAAAATGTTACTTATTGGTGAACATCGTGGCACATTTAGCAGCTGAGAAGACATATACAGTATAAAATATGCCTTTAAACTCTTATAACATGCTACTTGAGATGTCATTTTTTTGTCTTGTCTCTTTCATGTGTATTCCAGTCCAAACTGACCTGGGGTCCTTACTTCTGGTTCCACATGTGGAGAATGGCGACCTCCACTGTCTCAGGTACTTAGAATACCTAAAACAACATGAGTTTTGAGAGGTGTGCTTACGGTAAGCCACATGTGTTTATAGATCTGTAACATCATTCTGAGTGTGGCAATGACAGTTATCTGTAATTCAGTTTTGACTGGTCAAAATAATAATTGGAGATAAATCAAACATCATTCTGACTAATAAAAATTGTTGTACATGAGGCTCCTAATGTGGAGCTTTCCATTGGATATTGGCCTAGCAAAGTATTTAAAGAAGCGATTGTGGTTGCTGTGATGTATATTATTGTTAGAAAATGGCATGAAATAAAAAGAACTTACCAGAAAAATTCTTATTGACAGGAATTTGTGGAGAACAAGAGCATTGTTCAGATAGAGCCCTTCACAGTATAATGTTAATTCTAAATATTTGGTATCCAGACACACCAGAAGACTCACAGCGATGTCCTGATGGGATCAGAAAACTAATGTCTTAGCAGTGGAATGGCTTGCCGTACTTGGTTATGGTTACAGTGCCAGATTATGCCTAAAAAGCAAGAAATTCTAACTAGTCAGAATAAAACCACAAATATCTGAAGCTCTAATTACAACCTATCATTATTAAATGCAGATATGGGGGCGCTGCTATAGCTCACCTGGTTGAGCTGGCGTTCCATGTAAGGGGGCTATAGTCCCCGATGCAGAGGTCAGGAGTTCGAATCCTGCTCATTGCCCTTTTCCGCAGGTCCTTCCCCCATACTTCTCCCCTGCTTTCCTGTCTCTCTCTCGACTGCACTCTCAAATAAAGGCAAAAAGGCCAAAAAAATAACTAGGAAAAAAAGCAAAAAAACAAAATAACCCCAAAAAATGCAGACATGTGCAGCTGAATTGTAGATATCTGTATTGACAAACCCCATACACATGAGTGGTACTAGTCCTGGGAAGAATGACGATGTTGATACCTGAAATGTTCTTTATGATTAGGAAGAAGTGAATTACGGATCTTTGCAGTACATATCCAGTTGAGCTCTTAAATGTCAAAACAGCTTTAGGAGTGTATCACGCTGTATCCTAAAGCTTGTTTCACACTTGTGTTGGCACATGTTTGATCTCTGTGTTAATCACAACAAGTGTTGAAAGATATTTAATGCATGTGTTTGTCCATCCTGCAGTGTGTGACTACATGGGAGAAAGGCTGGCCTCACTATTTGGCATCACCACTCCGAAGTACCAGTATGCCATCGATGAGTACTACCGCATAAAGAAGGAGGTATGACACGTGTGTGCACAGACATCCTTAAGCCCCAAATGCAAATATGAAAAAAGTCACACCTCTTTGCGCAGAGGCAGTAGCAAGCGCACAAACACTGACTCTCATTTGTACAGTATTAAACGCTACACACTCTGGTGTCTTCCTGCAGGAGGAGGAGGAAGAGGAGGAGAACCAACTGGCTGAGGAGGCGGAGCGCCGCTTTGCAGAGCAGCGGAGAGGCGAGCAGGATGATCACACATCTCCTCACTCTGCTACTGTGGAGCAACCAGAGGGATCTGCAGCCTCTTTTGTAAACATTAGCTTTGAGCTCGAGCCTGAGCCTCCTCTCAGGAGTCCAGACACCAACAGAGTCCCGTCTCCGCTGCCTTCCTGAAAACTGTCACTCACAGACAAGCCTCTAACATTCACACATTTCTATCAGTTGGCAAAACCTTAATTTACTGAGCTGTATAAACTAATAATATTGTTATTTTTGTATCTTTGTTATTTTATTAGAAGAAGATCTTAGTACACAGTGCAGGGAAAAATGAAAAGGGCTGTGCAAGTGGCTGCACGAGCCGTACCTGTGAATGTACGTTGGTGTATAGTGTGTAGTCGTGTGCAAGACTGGTGGTTGAATTCTGTCAGTCTGGACCTGGGCTGAACTCCCTCAAATTGATATCAGTTAAGACAGTGAAATAAATGCTGGAGTGATGCTGAGATTAATGCTGGAGACACCCATCTCAGTGTTTTTTTCATTGATTATAAATGGATAGAAATCCAACCCAAACTGAATAGAACAGAATTGAGTTGCTAAACAGAATCCTGTACGAACACATATTACATCTACAGCTGTTGATCCTGCTACTATGCATATTAATACGACATTCAGCAAGTTTTGCTTGATAGTTTGCACTAGGAAAATGTTGCACTCTCCAGTTCAACCTGTCACTGCTATACTACCATATCTGGAATTTAGAATTATATAAAGCCTTAAAAACGTTTCTAAAATTGTTGAGGACTAACTCGTGGACCTGGATCCACTTTTACTCACGTTAGAAGCAGTGTATCAATAATATTATATATTAAGTTTAGTTTTGTTTTAATTTTAAAAGAGAAGTATTAAACTAGATGACTCTGACACATTTTCACAGAAACCATAAAGTTAGAGTTTCATCAAACAGTTTTTTTTAGTCATTTATAAGTTCAACACGGTGTCCTAATGCATATGATGACCCCTGTTCCTCTGTGTGCTACTTGGGTGAACACATGCAGACTTTTGCTCATTTCAATGAATGGTCCAACACATGCAGGAGGCTAATTGAAGAGCTTTACTGTGTATGCACAGCACTTCAATATATTCGGCTCTGTGTAGAAGATATGCCGTCTGAGCTGTGGTGTTTATTGTAACTACATTTTCACCCAACACAATTCATTTTTGTAGCCCTTGTGGCAAACATTTGGTGAAGTGACTGGAGATATAAAATGAGACCATCTTGTCGTCCTCACTGGTACTTTACTTGATTCTGATATCAGTTGTAGTGCCACGTGTCCATTTAGCTACATGCCATATTGATGGACCTGTAATTTGTTGATGTGTCTTTTGAAGCTGAAATGCTACCTTCCTTTCTTTAGACCTTGCAGGACTCAGGTACTGTGTTTAGTGTGAGCCATTTGCCTCCAACAAGAAGCAGTAGTGTGTTGTTAAATCTGACTTTGACACTAAGCACAAGGATAATATAATCTACCTTCTGTTCACATGTATTTCTGTAGTGATTGAAGTTTTTTTTGGCAGTATAGATTAAACAGTAATAGTTAAAATGTGCTAGTATGTGATTGTTGATGTACATTGGCTAGATAAGTTGCCCACATTGTAAAGGTTTCATTCTTCAAGTGTCCTTGGTTGAGCCATCCTAAGCTTCTTATTAATTATTTTTAGCTGCTGATGTGGCTGTGTGCTATAGGCCTCCTTACAGAGTACATGTTCAGTCAGAACTGGACCAACTGCAGACTGGAATTAAAATGGCAATTTGTCAGACTGTTAAATGTTGAGTGTGTTAATAGGAGTTGGTAGGTAAATGTCTTACACTGCAGTCGTCATTGAAGGTTTTTATGTGTGAAGAAGGTAAACATATGCAAAACATTTGGCTATTGTAACTGAAACGTTTAATGAATCTTTATAAACATATTTATATTTTCTTTGTGTTAATAAAATTGATAAATATTTGCTTTTATTATTTTTGACTTTTTTTTCACTTTACCTTTTTACTTCATAGAACATTTTATTGAATGGCAGCTCATGTGTTATAGTGGACAAAGAAAACCACCCTCATCCATCTTATCATATAAAATTTATTTCAATGTTTTTTTTCTTCAGTTGGCTTGAATCTTCCCATTTTGCAGTCACAGTCTGCATCCTATAAAAACACCAAAACATGGCTTCTGTTTACCGTCAGAGTCAAGTGAAAAAAACAAGCAAAACAAGCTGGGAACATTCTGCATAGCTACAGCTCACATTTTAATTAAAAAAAACTTGCACCCAAATATTTTTTATGACATACATATGATTGAATTTGAATTTGAATTTGAATTGAATTTCCCTTCTGGGATAAATAAAGTATTTTTCATTTCATTTCATGATATTCTTAATTGCTAATGGTGAAAATAACTTCTGGACAGTATTTTCTGAAGAGTACAGGAGCATGTAGCAGCCACACCAGAAAAAGAGAAACACATCAGTATAAAGATATAAAGTGAAAAGTTTCTTGTTGTAACGAGACTTTTAAAAAAATATCTGTATAAATGTAGTTTACCATTTATCTTCTTACAATGTGAAACCTTTCACATTATAACATGTTAACTTATCATTGGAACATAAAACATTACACGCTATACCTTGATAACGTCTATAAAACATTTCACATCCTAACGTGACAGCTTTTATTATAATAACACAGAGAACAGAGCACAATGGATGATACTATAAGTCCTGTATCCACGGAGCGTTCAGTGCCCCTTCAGCTGATAAAGGAGAAATAAATACTTTCAAAATGCTCTGTGCATTTCTTAAAATCTTTCTTTGGGTATGCATACTTTACTCAATATCATCCACCCTGTTTGTAACAGCAGAATCCCCATGTCTTCATTCAATCTGAGTTTCACATAAAAATATAAGTTATTACACAGCTGTAGTGTGACAGATTTCCACGGACCCTTTTTTTCTGGTGTGGTAGCAATATGCTTGTGTAGAACGGGCATTATCAGAAAAGACAGAGAAAAAAATATATCAAAATAGTAAAATGACAGTGACATGTAGGTTGGGTTTTCTTTGCAGGAAAACAACAAGCAAGAACACAGAACAACATTTACACAGAGCACAATGCCTGAGTTTTCTTCTTCTTTCTTCTCCGATCATTTATCTCCACTCAGTCACAGGTCAGCAGGTAAAGAGGGTCGCTGTCCGTCTGAGGAACAGTGTTGCTGTTGGGAGTGAAGCTGTCACCTTCTGATATCAAGAAAGTCTTTTTCACATCTCAACCACAAATCCTCAAGTGTCGTCGAGGTCAGCTGTGCTGCTGCCATCGTTGTCGTTGGCGACCAGAACTTCTCTGTTCTCGTAGGTCCAGAAGCCGTTGAGGTCAATCAGGATGCTGGCGACTGTGTCACCCTGGCAACTGTTCACCAAATCCTGGAGTGTGATCTTGTAGGGGTCTTTAGGTTTCACCATGTCAAAGATCTCATCCTGAGGAGACACAATGATCAACACGTTGAACCAAAACAAAGTAACTTTTACCTTAAAATAATCATTAGCCACAACCATTGCTGCTATACAAGTTTGAGGACAGCGTTAGTGTGCTAAAGAAGTGCGCGCGCGCGCGTGTGTGTGTGTGTGTGTGTGATATACCTTGACATCCTGAAAAGACACAGGTTCCTGACCGTGCATTTTCATCTGCTCTTGAATGGCCTGAAGAACAAAACACACAACAGCATCATGAATTACTGACACAACACAGTGAGTGTGAAAGTGTATTTTTCTTAACACAAGAGGGTTCATTTAGAGTCAGGAGTTAAGGATGAGGACGTGCTGAATACTGAATTAATGTAACAAGAAGAAATGGATGCACAGATGATTGATATCTGTAATAACAAAAACATGTTTGAATCACTGCCTTGACTTTGTTACTGTTTTTGTGTGAGGGTTGTGCAGCTGATACCCTGAAGAAGTAGTTGAGAGAGAAGATGTTCAGGTATCCTTGATTCTCCATGTCCAAAAGCTTAAAAATATATTGTAACGCTGCTGGCTCTTTCCTGTTTTCCAGGGCCAATACAAAGTCCAGATAGGTCTTATAGTCCTGGAAAGGAGAGAGAGAGAAACACAACTATGAACAGGAAATTGAGACAAATATCCAACTGGGACGACAAACACTGAGATCTGTAAGTTAATCATCAAAGATGTTGCATCAAGTGTCATCAAATGTGCCTGTCAGCTGTCTGAAGAGGTCACACTGTGCTCACTCAGCTAAAGATTAACCTTGTGTTACAGACGGGTGAACAATTAAAAGAAAACCCTTCAGTCACCACTTTCCAACACCAGGATTAGTGTGTATGGCAGATCCTCCATCATCCAAACCACTAAATGAGGAAATCTTTTTTAGCAGAATAATGATATTCCCTACAGTGGAGTTATAGACACTGAGTTGATGCTAAGGAACAACTCTGCTACAACTGTCAGTTATTGCTCAGTCACTGTTACTGGTTGTACCATTTCTCCATCGTAAGTGAGACACTCCTGAAACACTCTGTCCAGGAACACTGAGGTGAGAGTGGCTGTGCCGTAGCGTGAAAGCTCCTCTTTGCTCAACATGCCGTTGTGGTCCTTATCCAGGTTGAGGTACTGACCTGTAGAGACGCAGGCACAATCCAGATATAAGAGAAAAACACAGGGGCAGGTTGAAGTACCTGAGGTGATGGCTAACAAATGTCATTTCACAATAAATCAATTCCTCAAATATAGATAAAACTGACAAACTGATAAAAACTTTTTTCCAGCCTTTCTGTAGCTATACAGATCTCTTTGAGTTCCCTGTAAGCATTTTAGGGTATGTTTTTGTCTGTGATGCTTATACATAAATCACAAAGTGTTTTAACAACATAGATGGATCATTCATGAAAATAATGCTTCATCTAAAGTTAAAAGTCTATAGCTTTCTCCTAAGAAAGCAAACTTTGATTGCTTTAGTTTTAGTTTCAACTAGAGGCAGACGCTGCTCTCGTGGATCAGAGTAATATCAAAATGTCCTTTAACATGGCTCAGAACTCACCTCTATCTTACTGCAATATTTTTTCCCATCATGTTAACATTTCCAAATGAGTATTAATTATAATAACTTATGAATTAATAGCTACTGTGTCACACTTATGAATGCACACTACTTTCCCCTCTATTTGGAGACGCACATGCACATATTACTGCAGTAAAATGGCTGCAGGGATTTATTAAACCCTTCAAATAAACAGCTGGTAGCAACAAACACAACTCTAGTTGGTTGTTTGACATTATAGAAAAACTCTGAATCACATTCTGTAGCCACAAAAACATGTAACTGGTGAGCCTAGTGAATCTAAACATAGAAATATGGGTAATACCATATGTTTACAGGCTAGTAGACCGAATGGTAAATGTGTGTGTGGTGTGTGGTGTGTGGTGTGGTGTGTGTGTGTGTGTGTGTGTGTGTGTGTGTGTGTGTGTGTGTGTGTGTGTGTGTCAGGTGGTCAATTAATTTGTTGTAGTCTCATAAACTTAAATAAATATTTTCAAAAAAATATCCTTAATAAAAAATGTTGTTTATGGGCTGTCTAAATTCAGGAAGGTTTGTATGATAGATAATTTGATTATTTCAGCCTTGCAATGCTTTTGGGAAACAGGACTCATCACACCAACAGAGATTGCAATGATGAGCCAGTGACCATTGCCATGAAAATCAACAAAAAATTTAATTAAATTTAAAAAATAAAATAAAAAATGTAACTAGTTTTGTTCATTGGGATTCCATTTGCTTAGCATGCTAGAAGTTTTTGCTTATTAAATAGTCAGAAACAAAAAGTCACAAAGATACTGTCATGCATAGTTGCACCCTAGAAGGCCCATTCTGAGTCAAAAATCCTACATACCATAGACTCGGAGAGCCGATGGGGCTGAGAACCAGTTAGACTCTTGACTCTCTTTAGACAGCTCCTCATCTCTCAGCTGGAAACACACACAGAGGGAAAGAGAGAAACATAAGGCAAGACATAAAAGGACGCATTGTTTAAGCTTGCTACACAATACTAGACAACTTCATTAGAAATTTAAAAAAAAACCATGCACTGATTCATATAACTACAAAATGGCACTTTTCAGGAAGGCGAACACAGTTACAATGTATTTCTAAATTTGTCCTTTCTTTGTTTCTGTCTTTTCATGATTTTCAACCATTTACCAATTTCACACACACAATCTATTCCTAGTCAGAAAGCAACACATGTAGAGGTGTGAAAAAACAACAGATGTGGCCTTGAAACCTTTACAAACTTTCAAGTGAAAATGAAAAAATTACCTCCAACAAGTCATCCAGAAAACTGCAGGCCAAGATATCTTGAATTTTAATCTTTCCTGTAAAAAGTAAAAGCAATTTGACCAAACTGACACATTAAGTCAAACATGACGTATAAACATGAAAACCTGCCCCCTCTAAGCTTCTTTTGTCATTTGTACATCAGGAAATGTTAAGATCAAGTTACATATCTGTACAAGGATGATTTCTGTCTTTAACTGCAGAATCATTTTCAATATATGTTGTTGTTATATGTTACTTGTCATCTCAGTGTTTTATAACTCTTGTGAATTTGCTATGATGCAACACTGCAGGGAGATAAAGTCCTTATAGAGAGATCGTTCACTTTTCTGATCTAATTAAACAGTCCACTCAAGCCAGAGCTTGTCTTGGTTCATACATGCCATCAATAAAGTTTAATAACCGACAGCAGGGTTCAGTCTCACCTGTTCGGAGCGGGTCGAGGAAGAAAAAGAACTTGCGAACAGCAGTGCAAACGTAGAAAGAGTAGAAGGACTTTTCTAGTCCGTCCAGCTGAGGCAGAGTGGGGATCAGCTCCAGGATGTAGTTCTCCAAATCCTACACAAAATGATAAGTGTCACTGTTCCCCAGCATTTGAAATCCCATTGCACTTCAGCTGCACTGCATGAGCAGCTAAGGAGGAAAAACTTCTTTTATATCACTGAAGTGAAATCCAAGGTGAACTCTTACCGACTCTCTGAGGTAGCCCTGTCCTGCCACATCGTACAGACTCAGGCCTATTCTGGTCTGATGCAGCCACACTAGATGTCCATGTAGATGTGAAAGAACAGAAAGGGACAACAGTGAATCACCAGATGTTTACAACTACACATACATTTTAGAAAGAGAAGCATACTGACAAAATTAAACATTCAAGATTCTGATTTAACCAATAACCTATTTACTTCATTTCCTCTACTCAAGATATATAGTACAAATAATCCTTGCAGGGTTTTTCACACTGCTAAACATGCAACAACAACAACAACAACAAAAGACAAGGCAGAAGAAGAAAGCCAAGTTAGGGTCCACACCTTTCCTCATGACGTAGTTAAAGAACTGCATGATGGAGATTCTGCCATAAGGGTCGCTGTGGAGCAGCTTGGCGTACACTCTGGCTGTAAAGAATTTTCTGGGGAAAGAAAGGACAGAAGGACAGACAAATTTAAAATATCAAACTATTCTATTTGAAAGCCAGATCCCCTTATTTGACAACACATTAAGTGCATTAAGTACATTCAACCAATAACTATTTGTCTCCTCCTGTATTCCCATCAAGTCAGATTTCTCTTCCCTCTGACAGAGTGAAATGACTAGTTACTGTTTTTTAAAATTTGAACTGACAGTGGACACACATTGACAAAATAACCACCTCCTTACTATTTGTCAACATCCTGGTTCATAAGTTCATTTTCCTATCTATGTCTGCGTACATGTGGCCAAATGCAGCTCTGACAACCCCCACAGGAGGGCTGCGCGAACACACTTTCAGTGCAATTAAGATTTTATGGGTTTTACCTGCTTGGAATACACAGGTATACCACCAGCCAAAACACATCAGTGCCAGCTGGGTATAAAGTCATGATAACAGAGGGATTTCCTATAGTGTACCTTTGAACAAGCATAAAACTTTGGTACAAACAAGTACACACCTGCATTGTTGCCAGTAAAGATCTACTCGTTGCTACTTACTTGCACTTGGGTCCGGCCTTCTCTCCCACCTGCAGGAAGGCTTCATAGTTGATCATGGCCTCCTCTCCACTCACTGGAGGCACCTGGTGTTTATCGAGCAGAAACCACAGATTCTACAGAAAGATGGAAAAAAAAAAAGTAAAACACAACAAAGCAGATGGACACCTAGTTAGAAATGTACAGCCTTATGTTTATGAAAAAGTAGACCATCATGTTTGAGTATGTTTTACCTGCAATTCTTCATTGTCCAGCAATTCTCGGCTCTTCCTCTGGAGGAAGACAGCTCTGGATTCCTCTCTCAGTTTCTGTAGTAATACTTCATCCTCTGCTGGTAGCTGTAGAACAATATTATCGCCATCGTCAAGGTTACTTTCATTACTGCATGTCTATACAGTCAGACATATTTTCTGACATATATTGTGTTTAAGATTTTTTAAAGTTATTCATGAGTTGAATATTCACAGTGCAATAGATGTAAACAAATGTGATGGATCATTACTACATGAGTCACCCTTTGAAATATCCATCCATCATCTATACACCGCTTAATCCTCACTAGGGTCGCGGGGGGGCTAGAGTGTAACCCAGCTGACAGGGGGCGACGGCAGGGGAAACCCTGGACAGGTCGCCAGTCTATCGCAGGGCAACACTTAGAGACAGACATCAACATGCTTTTGGACTGTGTGGGAGGAAGCTGGAGAACCCAGAGAGAACCCACGCTGCACGGTAACATGCAAACTCCACGCAAAAAGATCCTCATCGGGACGCAAACTGCTGACCTTCTTGCTGCGAGGCAACGGTGCTAACCACTGCTCCACCTTGCTGCCCACCATTTGAACCATGACTATCACAAACCCTACAGCACAAAGAAGACGGCATGAATTTGTAAAACTGCTGACGCAACAGTTTATACCCCGAGTCAGACGTATATCCTAAATTGCAGTCTTCACAATTTGCTAATTGCATTGTTTCATATTGCAATTTTGATTTGAAATCAAACAACTGTTCAGCCCTAGTTTTGACATGATCAGCATCATAATCCTCATCATCATTACAATTGCCCCTTAACTATTCTGTAATCTGCTGTAATGTGGTGAGTTGTGAAGCAAGTCACTGTAGAATAAAACTGACTACCAAACCTGGAAAACTTCAGCTAAGTCTATAATTGCTGCTGCTAAATCTGCAGTTCACTCATGTGGAAGTCAAATATTTAGGAAGCTGCAATCAGAGAACATAGACTTAGAAATGCTGTCAGGGAGATGATGCTCATGAAGGTAATGTCAGTGTGTAGTCGCTTGTTACTTCATAAGGCAATCAAAATACCATGAATGACGCCTATTGTCGAGGTGTTTGTGAATGTGACGAGTTACCCTGTAGTAGAATCGTGGGATGGTCTTGTAGGACTGCTCCCTGTGACTTCCTCCCTTCCACTCTGTGTAGTATTTGGTGAAAAGCTCCGTTTCTTCTGCTTTCTTTTCCTCTTCGCTTCTCTCATCTTCGTTGCAACGAGAAAAAATAGAGCAAAAACAACCAAAATCACTAAAATATTCAGCATCCGGCTCAATGTTAATGTTGACTTGGTTAACTGACTTTACATCGATGTTACATTTAAGTTAGCTAGCTAGCGTTAGCCAACACGTAACGTCATTTACATGATTACTTACCTTTTGTGGAGTTTGCTGTTCTCTTTTTCAGAATATCCGACCAGTGCGGTGGTTGTTCTGTAGCCATATTTGCTCCCAAAACAGTAAAAAGTTAATATTCAATCATCCTATCCCGAAAGAAAAACTGTGTGAAGTCGACTAATGTACAACAGTATCCAACACACCGAAACAACATCAAGTTAGCGGCTCAACACGATTGTAGCTTCCGGTAACATTTCCTCTATTTCAAAGTAAAGGAGCAACGTCTCTACATCAAGGAAAACCCAGGATCACCTGAACTGTCCCTGAGTTATGCTGCTATAGCTTTAGACTGCCGGGGGATTCCAATGGTGTACTCAGCTCCTCTCCTCTTCTCTCCTCTCCTCTACATTACACATCATTAACTCCAAAATACAGAGTATTATAATATATGTCTTGAATGTCTTATAATGTATATTGCTGGTGCACCTTGGGAACGGCTCTTTAAATTTCATTGTACTTGAATAATGACAATAAAGACATTCTATTCCTATTTCTATTGTGTTTCTGTTATTCCCCCAAAGGCCTGTGCTTGTTCTCTCTGCGGACGTCTCTGGAATCACACCGCTGGCCTCACCGACCCCCAAAATATTTATATTCATATTTATTGTTCCGTTCTATTGCTGGCTCTCCATCTGCTATCCTGTTATCCCCACCCCCTCATCCCCACTCTCACCCAACCAGTCAAAGCAGATGGCCACCTTCCCTGAGCCTGATTCCGTCAGAGGGTTTTGTTCCCCCTCCCTTGGAGGGGCTTTTTGGTTCCTTCCCAACCGCTTGCTCAGAGGAAGTCCAAAGGCAACTTTGGATTGTTGGGTTCTCTGTTTAAATTTGTAAGTTCTATATCTTACCATGTGCTGTAAGATGGAATATGTTGTAAACTGCGCGATACAAATAAATTGAATTGAATTGAACTGATCACCGGCTGTCATAATCTGTACATAACATTTTTACAATACATGTGAAGTGTAAATGTGCTTGGTTTTCTGTCTCTGTATGTTGGCTCTGTCTCAGCTGGGATAGAAAATGGAAGTATTTCTCTGCTGCCTTTGGAATTTCTGTACTGAGACTTATGAAGGTTTAATGTTTTGTATAATAAAAATAAAAAGTCAAAGAAACAACAACAACAAACTACTGAAATCTGGTACTGACTGATGCACAGTTTGCAGCAAAACACTAAAGCAGTCTATTTGGAACAGTCTCACATATAGGGGTGCTACCAAGCATGGCAGAATTAACGATCTGTGCAGTATGTTTGAGGTAAAACTTGAAAAAATATACATTCTGGGGACATCTAAGGCGTATATTCACTGGTTGAAAAGGGTAAATTATAGTGCATTTAAAGTATTTCCCTGTATATCTATTCTACTCAAGTCTTTCGTGCCTTTATTTTGAAAAACTGGACACTGCTGGCAGAAGAAGTCGTCTCGCATTGATGACGTTAAGCTGTGCGACTCAACCCATGTGTTCCGGCAGTTGTGTTTAGCCAGGGAGTGTTGTAGCTGCAAAGAACCTGAATTGGCTATTCATATTGGATATTCAGGGGTGTTGTGAGTCTCATTTCTTCATAGTTTAATTGTAATGCGCTGTCGAGCCAACAAGAGAGTGACAGTGGCCTTTAAATAACTGCTGTCATTTAAAAACAGAAAGGTTAGTTGGCTAGTTTCATTTCCAGGTTATGGATTCATGTAACTAACTGCAGTGTCAGTTTTGTGGTTAATGAGGTTGGGAAAATAGTATTTCTAGTTTTGTATATATAATCTAAATAAAGGGTTTTGGATTGATTTACTAATGAGAAGCTTAGCAAGAAGTGTTTTATATTAGTTTATCACAAGTCCAGAGGTTAAACATCTCAACATGAGTTTCACCTTGATACTTAAAGTCAGAATATGTGGGAAGTCCTTAGAGCCTTTCCTCCACCGGGGACATCCAGCTTTCCTTACACTGTCGAAGTCACCACAGCTACCTACCTCAGGACGCTTTCTGTGCACTAGAGACCTCAACCAGGGTGGCAGACAGACAGACAGAGAAAAGAGAGGACAGACCGACCGACAAGGTGGAATAAAAAGCAGTCCCATCAGACAGGGGCAAGGGAGATCATGGGGTGATGCTGTAGGTGGAAAAGGTAAGAGTGCTAGTTTACGGCAGAAGCCTTTCCTCCCCACATCTGTGTTTGCTGCTGGGAACGCAAAGAGGACGACAGATTGGCTGAAGAGGAAAGCAGCTATGGCCTCTAAGGAAAAGGAGCAGCAGGAGAAGAAAAAGGAGCTTGAGCGAACCAGAAATACAGGTCAGACATATCGAAATGGTCTAATCGAACAGCCATCTTTTAAGAAAAGCTTTGTGTTATTTTTAAAGTGCAGCATATCTAAAAAAACAAAAAACAAACTGTGTGCATAATAAAAAGGTAACTAAAGTGACTGCACATACATTTCTACAGTTTGGCTCATTATAGTTGCCCCTGACCGGGCGCAACTATAGAGTAATCTGCCCCATCTGTGTGTCTGTGAATAGTCTCTAGCTCGAGTGTTAAGTTCTAGCAAGTTGGTATTTTGCAGGTGAGGTAGGAGTGACCTCTCCTTGGAATTATTAGATTTTCAGAGCAAAAACAGCTCCGCTAGAGGTCAGATCTCACTTTTATAAAAAAAAAAATGCTGTATCATGGCCAACAGTAGCAACTATCTTCCTCTACTGAGGGCCCTCTAGTTATATTTGTTCAGTGGATTTTTGGATAACTTAAAGGTCTCATATGGTAAAAATCAATCTAGTTTTGTTTTGTGTCCTAGAGGTGTAAAATAAGAGAATATGTGAGAATATGAATGTTTATTTGTGCCATTCCTCTAACCCCCCTCAACTAGAGGGCCTTCCAGCTTTACTAGCCAGTAAGAATTTCATTAAGTTTCTCGGTTGAAACAAGGTTACCAATAGTCATTGAGCTAAAAATTTGTAAAATCCTCCCCCCTCACTGCTTACTGCATCTAGGTAAGCCATTCAGAGTGAGCAGCTGCCTTGATGTCTGCCCGATTTTGTTTACTTTCTGCTAACTCTGAAATGTATCAGCTATTAGCAAAGCTCACTAAATGTTCTTTTGCTGGCTTCAGGAGTAGACACAAGAACCCATGTTAATGCACTCCCAGCATCTTAGGAACTGAAGAGCCAATGGATTAGTTTATTTTTGATGGCAGTGTCACCACAACAGGAAAATCCTTTGTGTTAGTACGTTGTGCCACTAACATGGCTATTGTTGCCATTGGCTTTGATGGTATGCTTACACTTCAGAGTTCTGTAGAAAGTGTAACACTGAGGGGTGTTCAGTCATGTTGCAAACTTTTGGAGTGGTCTGAAACCAATAAACTGGGTGGCTTACTGTATATTTGTTAAACCTGTTGAGCTTCAGTCCAGCCTAAACTCAGCTGATGATTACGTCTGTTTACTTCCCTCCTGTTTTCTGTGCTCACATATACTGCATTTCAATACAGCTGAATTCCCTCTAAAGTTGTTCTCATTTACATTTCAACATGTTCCATACATTTCTGTTGTCAGACAATGGTATGAGTGTGCCCTTTAAGACAACATGTTAACAGTCTAAGTAGAAATGTTTTTCCATAATTGTTGGAGTTTCCTGCACTACAACATGCATGTTTTACAGTAAAGGTGCAACCTCCTGCCCGGCCACTCCCCGCTGCTGAGTGGAAGAAGCTGAGGGAGTCTCTGGGAAATCCGGAACGTTTTGACATCCACATGTTGGAAGCGATTTTGCACTTAGAGGGGGATCTGGATGTCGCAAAGTAAGAGGAAGATGAGGGTGTTTTGTTAACTTGGTGTGGTGATCTGGCTTTCTTTATAGTACACAGAAACATTTAAATGATGTCTTCAAACTTCAAATTTATTATTTGTCCCCTCGGGACGATTTGTTATGCAGCAGCTTACACAAGCGTTCACAATTAACAACAATTAAAAGCATTAAAAAACACAGATTAAAGGAAATTTTAAAAAAAAAGTAAAAGACACAATAAAATCAGTTAAAAAACATCAGACAGACAGGGACATTAGCTGCAATCTTGGTCATTAATTCAGTCAGGTGTATTCCAGTGCAAAACAGTCAGCAGCAGCAGGCAGAAGAAGTCAAGTGAACAGGTTAAAGTGCAGCACAGTACATGACCGAGTATAGCAGCGAAAACACAGTGCATTACCTCCTCCTCTTCTCAGCGTTTATAGCTCGGATGGAGGTAGGCTCAAAAGAGAACTTGTACCTGTTTTTTGTGGCCTGGGGTGCTGCCAGACGAAGGCCAGAGGGGAGCAACTTATACTCCTGACTGAGAGGATGAGTTGCATCCACAAGAAACAACTGAGCTTTCTTTTTGATTTTTTATATGAAAAAATATCTTCAAGACTATTAAAACACACCCCAGCTACTTTAGAGGCTACTTTTACTATCCTCCCGAGGGAGTTCTTGTCCTTGTTGCCAAGGTTACCATACCAGCATATAACTGAAGGATGAAATAAATGAAGGAACAGTAGAAGAGCCCCATCAGGGTCCTATCAACCTGAAACTTGGTGAGCTTTCTCAGACAGAATAATCGTTGCTGACCTTTTTTAACCAGCATTTCACAATTTAAGTCAGACTTCAGTTCTCGTTCTTTTGGTCATTACCCAGATCTCATGACCATAGGTGAGGGTTGGGACGTAGATTGGCCAGTAAATTGAGAGCTTCGCTAAGAGACAAAGATATAATAAAAAATGGGGTCAGCACATGTTTCAGTAAATGGCCACCGATGTAATCAGGGCCAGGACTTTCCTTTGGCATGCACTGTTTGAAGCACCTTAATACATCGCCCTCATCGAAAAAGGGGTTCTGTGGAGAGGCTGACATAAGACAGTTTTTATCTTAGCATTAGTAGCCCTAAAATCGTGGGAGTCAAACCTGACATAAAAGCTGTTAAGACTTTGAGCTAGCTCTAAATCAGAATTATAACCATTAAGCTCAACTTTCCTCTTTATACATTTATCCGTCCCAGTGATCAGCTTCATGCTGTCCCAGACTGAACCAAGAGTATTCATTTTGAGCTGAGACTCAATTTTGTCTTTGTATTGCCTTTTGCAAGTCCTAATCTCGTGTTTTACTTCCTTCTGTAGGTTATACAGATTTAGTCTATTTCCTTCCTTGAAAGCCTTTTTCTTTCTATGCAATAAATCTTTAAGTTTCGTAGAAAGTCTTAGTATATGCCTCTTGTTTTGTCAAAGTTGGTTTTACTGTAGAAATCAAAGCCCTGTATGTTAACATTGTGCATTAAATCTCATGAACTGCAATCATAAACTGATTGACAACAACTAGACAGATGGAAATATAAGCTAGCTAATATCAGGAGATGCACTATTAAGACTGGAATATAACATGTTATTTAATATATTTACCTTTCAGGTCCCTGCTTACTTTTGTAGCTCTGGAAACAGGCACGCTGCCTTACGGGGTGTTACTGCGGTACCTATTAATCTGTGTGCATGGCGGCCATGACACTGAGGTGTTTGATGTCTATGAAATCATGCGGAAAAGTTTTCCCTCTGTGGACACAGGAGCCTGCACTCTTTTTATCAAGTCCTTCAGCAGGACAGAGAGGTGGAGGGAGGCTATCGACATCCTGCAGGAGGTGAAGAAGGTGAGCAGATATTTCTTTGTTTAAAAAGCAAATAAACTCATAATCGAGCTAAAGCATGTACTTTGTCTATTGTCATCTGATTTTACCGTTACCCCGATAGATTTTTCTCCCGACAACACGCAACTATGGCGATATCATCTCGGCGGCAGTGCAACACGGTGATATGACAACTGCCTGGGCTCTTTACAATGAATTAATCGAAAAGGGACTGAGCCCACAATGGGAGACCTGGGATGCTCTGTTTAAGGGAAGGAAGAAGACTAATAAGGAGGAAGGGGAGGCCATGTCTCATGCTGAACAGCAGGAGAAGCTTTTGGGGATTCTTCTGTCCATGAGGAACAACCAGATCTACCCCAAGCACAGCCTCGCCAGCACCATCAAGACCTGGTTTGAGAGGTACTACTTAGTGATAAAGATACTGATATTTAGATGGGAAACCGAGGCTGTATAAAATGCTGCTTATAAAAGCTATAATTTGATCAATAACTCTGCCCTGACTAGTTGCATATGGTATATCTAATACATTTTAGATGATTTTGCCCTTTGTAAACTGACATTCAGACACAAAATGTCTCGTCTGTATGAACTTAACATGACTCTCTCGCTGTCATGTTTCTACTCTCCATCTTTTCCTGTCTTCAGTCTCGCAGGACAGAACTGGACAGGAAGTTGGACCAGCATCACACAAGAGTAAAAATACCACTTACTAGCTCAGCAGGAAATCTTTGCAGTATTTGACTTTTTTTTTTGCCACATTCTTGTTATGTATGCAGGAACCCACCTAATCATCTTATGTGTCATTTATGTACTTGTATGTGTGTTTTTAGGGGAGTGTGTAAGTGCTGTGGTTCAGCGTTGGAGTCCATTCAGCTGACTGATGAGGAGTACCAACAACTGAAACACAGAGTGATGAGTGACGTCATTCAGGGACGAGATGTTTTCAACAAGACCACTCCACAGGTATGCAGTTCTAAAATGCACTGATATCAATGGATTAGTACCAATACGTTTGATTATGTTGATATATAATAATTTATTTGTGCTGGAGGTCCATTAAATATGAACCACATTATTGTAAAACATGAAATCAATGCAGCTCATGATTAATATTACATTATGCAAACTTTGCAAACATTTATGCTAAAGCTATGTGCAGTTGAAAACAGTATATTTTTGACAGATGTGAAAAAAAAAAAGGATATCATTAAATTTAACAATTAAAAGTAACAAGTTCATCTTGTAAATGTTTAAAAACAATCTTTCTTGACCAAGCTTTCTCTTTTAAGACATATCTGTCAGCAACATAGCACATTAGCACACTAGCTTGTTCTCGCTAACTTCTGCTAGATGGCGTCATTGGCTCACATTCAGCACCAGGCTGCTGAGCTCAGCTAAAGCTGCTCAGCTTGGAGTTGTTCAGATAGCTGCTTTCATTCTCTAGATGAAGGAAAAGAAAAACAACTTCTAAACAGACACGCTTTTGATAAACTTGAAGTAGTTTCTTCATCAGGTACAGTGAAGTAGCTGCCAGCCCTTCTGCTTCAAAGGCTTTATTGATTCATTTTCTCTGTCATAGTATGACTGAAATATTTATTAATTAGTAATTTAGTTCTAAAGTTACAAAAGATGATATTGCAGTCAGCTCCACCATTTTCCAACTTTAAGGTTTCTGGCCTTCATAACCAGATTTTTTTTGACTGGAATAAGACTGTTAGCTATCTAGAAATGTCACAGCTAACTCAGTGTAGCTTCCTCTCTTTATGCTTGCTAATGATACTTATTGCAATTTTAATAATTAGATTACCATATATATATTAGAAAGTTTGCTATGCAATGGTCTTATACACATAAAACAGATTTTAAAAATTGGTTTGTGGATTTTGGAAAATATATTTTAACTGCTTTTATTACTCTTAATAAGTATGAAGCTTGAACCAGCAGCCATTTATCTTATCTTAAGCTAAAAACAGTAACAGAAGCAGCCTGCCAGCACCTCTAAAGATTTATTACAAAAATCAATAGGCAGGTGATACTGAAGCTTGCTCCAGGTTTGTGCTGCAGCGGTGAGACTCCTGAAAAGAACACAAATGGTGTCCGCGTTTTTAAATCATGTTAACGTGGCAACATACAAATTTTCAAACCTCTCCGATATGTGGTTTTACTGTTGGCGCTGCTGTCACAACACCCGCACCACTTTCCATTGTCTTCAGAGTCCTGCAACTACAATGTGAAAACAACACAAAACTGTCATCATCACTAAGGAAATAAGAGAGAAGAAACTGTTGGTAAAGGGCAACATTTGAAGTCGCAAACATTGTTTTCACCTAGAGTGATATTATCTTATCTTATATTATATTATATTGTTGTTGCCATGGTGATGGCGGCGCGCATAGACGCAGCAGCCTCTTCAGGAGACAACAGAAGTGAACGTTTTGACTGTTTTGCCTATCCCAGACGTTCATTTTTGCGGCCGGGAGACTTTGTTGGGCGTCAGGACGGTGAACGGCGCTGGAATTGCGGCGATCGGTTGTGATTTGGACATGCAGCGCCAGCGCGGAGTCCTATTCGTACCCATTTTCCATCAAACTGGTTTCAGTGCTGGTTCGGAGCCGAGGCCTGACTTAGCACCTGTTCTTTGTGTTTCCACCGCAAAAGCAACGGCTCCAGGCTGTCAAAACTGGTTCTTTTCAGGCACCAACTCTTTGCTCTGCCAGAGAAAAGCACCGACGACGTAAAGGGCTGGGGGCGGGGTCATAGTAACCAACGAACAGCGACGAAATCGCAGAACCGCCATTTACCAAAAAAAACCGGACCAAGCCGGTTTTCAAGTACATCCAGCGGGAGATGGCTGCTGTCATTTGCGACCGGAGTCTCGAGCAACTGCTCAATAAATTGAAAAAAATAAAGGACTACAGGAACCAAAAAGGAAACTAGGATTCAGCGGCAGTGGTCGGCCAAGAAGGACTCCCAATTTCGACCTGCTGCATGCAGTGCTTGGTGACCAACCAGCGAACCGAGCAACGGGGTCTCTCAGCTCGTCGCTGGTCGATGAGTCCGCTGTGCAGACACCCGATGTTGATCCTGGTAAGTTTTATTTCTCAAACACTTGCTGTTAGCCTACTATGAATATGCTAGCTATAATAGTGCCACATCAATATTATGAACGTTACACCAGCTAGCGTGATACGGGCACAGGAGCAGTGGTCAGAGGATGGCGTTGACGATTGTTTGCTAGCCAGCTAGCCGCTGAAAAGCTAACAAACAATGAAACAACACCTTATGAAACTTTAGAAAAGTAGCAGCAATATTTCATTACAAGACCTATATTCAAAACCTCCCTCATCATATTGCGCAGCTATATCCTAATTTGTTTGTTATGTTTTGTATCAGTAATACAAGTTTAAAAAAACTGATTCAAATGATCAAATTAACACAGTGAAGTGAGGAGTATGTGTACTGTACAGCTATTTTCATAATTTCAAGGTAAAATGCTGTTAGTTCTGTGGTTTTTCAGCTTTGCAGATGAGTAATTCAGTGCATTGATTTCTTATACACAGATTTTTTGGTGTTTTTTAGTTGGTAAATAAAACCAGCAATACGTCTAATAAAAGATGTTTTTTTGTAACACATTTTTTAACATTGTTTGGATAAAGCAATAAATAATCAAATATTTGAGAAAATGCCTTGTAATACAGATGCTGTCAACAACGTTTCTTGTTCATTTTTTATAGCGTTGTTGACCCTTGACGTCGAGGCCCAGTTGCCAGGACCACTGGCCCCATCCTGCAGCTTATCGGCTTCGACGTCCTCCTCCCAGACCAAATTCGGTAAGATTGTGAGACTACGCCGGCAGTTACCCGAGAGAGAAGGAAGTGCAAACGGTGCGAACGTACACAAAAGAGGAGGAAGAGAGCTGGGATCCATGCTAGGCTAAAGGCTAACCCCTCCAGACCAGCAGGATCCATGCTAAGCTAAAGGCTAACCCCTCCAGACCAGCAGGACCGTCGCTCCTGCTCTCCAATGTCCGCTTCCTCAGCAACAAGCTGGATGAGTTACATTTGCTGAGAGAAACCTGCAGAGAGTGAAGAGACTGCTGTGTGTTTGCTTTAACAGAAACATGGCTCCATGACAACATCCCAGACGGCCATACAGCAAGGACAGCGTTATTCCGGGCGAACAGACAGGCAGCTAGCTCTGGGCAGCATCTGCGGCTTCACCATCGTCACACCATCGTGTGTCTTTTTTTTTTTTTCGTAGCTCCTTTTCACCTCTAATAGAATGTTCATTTTGATATCATCTTTGGAATCAAAGGAAACCATAGAATCCATCAGACAAAAATGTTGTTCTACACACAGTGTGTTTCCAGCCAATTACTATATTTGGCTTGATGTTTCACAGGCAGTTCGGTGATACTGTCTACTGACCTCGGTATGGTCCCTTCTCAGAGTGATTAGATTTTGCTGTCAATACATGCATTGGTGATTGCTACAGAGGTCGCATTTCCCAAAAGACCCCAGAAATGCTGAATAGGGTTAAAATACTGTGTCTGTGTGTGTGTGATAATTCTGAGTAGAACATCGAAGGCACATCAGAGGTGTGATGTTACAAAGCTTAATCGAATTACACTGTATGTTGCCATTCAACTAAGTGTTGGTCTGGTTGGAGCACTGTTCAATATAAACAAAACAAAAATGTGGCATAAAACAAACAAAAAAAAAATCTTTTTTATTTGCCACTCTAACAACAGAATTTCCCTTTGGGGATAAATTAAGTATTTCTATTCTATTCTATTGAGCTCAGGATTTCAATACCTATTTTCCCTAACTTAATATGTTTTGTTGATTCACCATAATTGGATTTTGATAAATTTGTAGCTAAGCCTAAACATATGTAGTAATAAATAGGCAGGCTGTGTTCCTTATCCATGTCGAAGAAATGTTGCCTGTTCACTGACGCTACCGCTTCTGTATCTCCTCCAACGACAGGGCTCTTTTTTGTTTGTGGGTTTATCTCCACATTTCCATTTTCTGCTTGATATTTGAGCCATCCATTTCGTCCCATTAATTCTTCTTACTGTTTCTCATAAAACAGCAAGTATGCTGCCCTCTGCCGCAGGTGACACAAAGATTCACCTGTTGTCTTGGTGACATGCTCATCATTGTAGGTGAGCCAACAGTCTGATGTGCCACCTGTTTCCTGGGCTCGGTGAGCAATATTAGACTCGCAGATGGAATGTCCACTGTGAGTTGTGGAACCCAAATGGCTGACAATGCTCACCAGAGAGTAGCGAGTCCCTGTCTGCGTGATGGTGTTTTCAGGATTCACCACCAGCTCCCTTGTCAGTACAACAGGGATGCTGACCTTCTCGAGGCAGAAGGTTAAAGTGAACCTGAATCTTTTAAGCTGGAGGATCAGAACATTTGGCAGAATCAAAAACGACAGCTGCTCTATTGATTCTCCAGCGCCACGTGAACACTGAAAGTCCAGCTGGCCCTCTTTCAGATACTCCTGCAGGCTCTGGCTCACTGAACCTGCAGGTACCAGAGAGAGGTTCAGATACTGCTCCTCTCTCATGGACTGACAACCACATCCCTTGCAGGTCCTGGTGTTCAACATTTCAAAGGAAATGTGCGCACCAACAGGGCAGGTATATGCTTCGCCCATGAAAGCTGCTGCCATCTGCAGGTCCAAGGACAGAGATTTTATCATGTTCAGCAAACAGCTGAGGAACTCATGGGCATCCTTTTGACAGTCATCCTGGAACTCTGAGTTAAACTCAGCAACAGTTTCTTTAAAGGCAGTCAATACAAGCCTCTTCTCCACCTTGTTGGAGAAGAGACTGACTCCAACGTTATCTTACTCTCTGATAACCTGGGATGCCAAACCACACCTGCTGCTGGTTGTAGACCTCCTGAATGAAACCACTCAGTCTCAGGATGCTATCTTTGTCGGTGCTGTGT